TAATTTGTCCATAATTAGGACATGTTCAATTTATTTATAAAATAGCTCAAATCCATTTTAATTTATATAAAATCAACTGATTTTGTCAAACGCAGAATTTCAATTTTTTACTTTTTTTTTGTTTTATTTTTGTTTCAGTGTCATCAGCTGTAAACGATTGAAGTTAATTCACGCAATTTAGTAATAAAAATTGACTAATGATTAAACTTTCGTATCCATTGGAAAAACTAATATAAGTAAAGTAAAACAAACATCAAACCCAAATAAAGTAAATTCATTAAAATTTATTGAATATGAAATCAAATTATTATTAATATTGGATTGATAAACTGAAGTCCAATAGTAACCCTTTAAACCTAAATCGATTAATAAATTATTCATTTTGTAAATTAGTTTCCTAAATACCTAAAGAACCGGAACAAACATTTATTTATTTATTTATTCATAAGCAAGCTGTAATCAATAATAATAGATATTATTTCAGGCTCTTTTCAAGTTTAGAGGAATGTATTACTTTTTCTGATATTTTTTTTCGTTATTTAAATGTATTTTAAATAATTTAATAATTTTTAATAGTTAATGATGATAAAATAGCCTGGCCGATCTAAAAACTAATCAGCATAATTTTCAACTAATATACTTCGAATGGGTTATGAAATTTCAAAATCGGTCCAATAAACCGCCAATAATCAAAATCTAAATAATAAAATCGGGGTTATTATCATCTAATCAATTATTTTTTAAGATTTCAGTACCTAATTCAAGATGTGCAAAAGTTTCTGTATCCTGAAACATCTTTCGAATCATCCCGTTCAAAAAATAAGCAAAAAGTCTCTCAAAAATAAGTGAGGTAGTTTCCTTATGTAAAAAATAAATACAGTAGCGGACGTTATAAAAAGCAGAAGCTTAATTTTTCAAAATAAGTTGGATGCGCTGGATGCATGCAAATCCTAAAATGAAATCAATTGAAAAATTGATTGATCGAGCAGTAGCGATATCAGTTTTCACTTGGGAATATAGACCTTAAATAAGTTTTCAAGTGAAAATAACCCTTCCCGGGCATTGCTGCGCCAAATTGAATAATAAGTCAGCCCAATCTTTCCTTCTATTCCTTATATATGAGTCAGTGCTATTAGATAAATTCTGATTAAAATATGATAAAATTAATATTATGATAAATTAAAATAAATTATGATGAAAATTGTAACATAAAGACTGGAAATAATGATATCGAAATTTATAAAATAAAGAACTTCAAATTATATCTCAATCTCTCCTAAAAGCTCGCAAAATAACTTGTACTATCAACTGAAGTCGACGTCAATTATCAAAACGTACATTACTATCGGCACTATACTCGTAAAACTATCAGGTGTAAGTGGTTCCGGTCCGCAACCTAAAAATGATATAAGAAATACTTACAATAGTTGATTTTTTGAAAATAATTATACTGCTGCAATAGTTGTAAAAGTTGATAAAACGCATAAATCTCGATTTACGTCGTTTCTTTTGGCGCTTTTTTTTGAGTTGCGTCGCTGCTTAATTAGAACCAATTTTCACTGTACGTCGTCTGATTTGCGTTATTTTGAGTTGTAGTCTTTCCATTTTTTTATATTTTTCTTGAAATTGGAGAAGACCGACAACTGTATTACAAATTTCACATATTCAAGAATTCTTTATTAAGGAACTACTATTGCAACAGGAAATGGGAATTGAATGAAGAATATAAATCACAGAAATCTTACAAAATTCGTTCTCTAGAACGATGCACTGTAGATATTTGTTTGAGATACATTCGTTCAGCAAGCATTGTATAAATTCACTGTTTACGATATTTTGTTTCTTGTTTGTGTATAATAAAATTTTATAAGCGTTTGCAATAATAATTATAATTGCCGAATTTTCCAACGCTGACCATATATTGTATTCATCCATCAAATCTTAATATTATTCTTGAGGAGCGAGACTTAATTTTTTTAATATAATAAGCTCCAATGTGATAAGTTAAAAAAGATAGTTATTTACCGGAATCCTTCAATAAGACTAAAACGAATTGAGAATAGAAAACAAAATTTAAAAATGAACTTTTACTCGTTTACTTTTTTGAAAATATCTATTTTTTTTTTTAAAAAAAAAAATTGTATCTAATAAGAACATTAAATTCCATATTTTTACATACTTTTTTCTTTTATTATGAAGTCACTTTTGTAGTGCTCTAATACAACATTATTTATTGGCTGCATCAATGAGAAAAATAACTAATAAACATACCTTATAATTTAGTAATAATCACGCGCATTCTAAAAATAGCTATGCAGATGTTACATATAATATGTTAAAAACTAGTTATAACATATTATAGAACTACTCGTAAGTGGCATTTTGCCTTAAGGCAAGGTGCATGAACTTTCCGACATGTGTAAATAATCGACTTAATCAATAAGAAATCAATATATTAATTTATGAGTGATTTATAGAGCAGCTTATAATGTTATAAACTATTGAAAATTGAACACTCAATTTTGTACAATTTTTAATTATACATTAAGAAAAACGCGCCTCTATTTAATGCACCAAGTATTTTCTAAAAGCGCGGCCAATAAAGTCAAATATTAATAAATATTTATAATTGAACAACTTTTTGTAGGACACGTATGTTCTTTAAGACCTGATCTCCAAGGCTAAAAAAGTTATAGCTGTAACTTCCCGCACTGTAATTTAAAATTTTTAATAGCTTTGAAATGCCGAAAAGCAGACTTTTTGAGCATTTTGAAATTTTTGAAAAATTTTGAAAATTTTGGAACTCATTTAATTCGGTTGATCCATAGCGTCGAAAAGGTCGAGAAATTTTGTTCGAACTATATAAGTCAACTCCAAACATAAATCTTGTTACGAAACCGAAAGAATTGGAAACATCATTTGTATTATTAAAATCTCTATAAAATATCTGATTATTTGTTGTAAATGGCCATTTTTGACCGCCAAATAGCTTTTTTCAAGTTTGTTTTCTGGATCTCCAAAACCGCTGGACCTGCCTTCACAAAACTTTCATCAATTCATTATGTGAGTACAAGTAAAATGTTTTTTGAATCATTCAAATCTGTTCTCGAAATCGTCAACGAAAGATTGTATCCATGCACACACATACAACCATTTTTTCTAATTGCATGGTATGCCAAAATATTCAGGAGGCATTGAAACGTAAAGATATATAAAAGTTCTCATTTTCGATTACTAGAACTTACCCTACGGTATGTCAAAAATAGTCGAAAAAAGTGCAATATTTAATTACGAAGAAACGGCCTGGCCACTAACTAATCAGCACGATTTCCAACCAATGCCTTTCAAACCGTTATGAATTTTTAAAATTATTAAGGAATCGTGGGCTAAAAACGTGAACAGAATATTTACACTTTTCTGCAAATTATGAAAACAGCTCGGCCTGTCTTCGCGCAAAACTAATGACACGGCTAATAATTTTTTTCAATTGGTTCAGCTGTTTTTAAACGAAAAAATACAGCCATACATACACACACATATTAGGTGCGCAACTAAGTTCTCGCTATTTTTTCGATAAAAATGTAACTTTATTATAAAAAAAAACTCTTGCATCTAATTCATTCAAAGAATTGCCCATCGCTAGATACATCTTTTGCTCATCTTGCTGGCAAAGCTCGAATACCTTGACGCCAGAAGTGTTCGTCTTTTGAGGCTATCCACGAATCAAGTAATTTTCTGACGTCTTCATATGAGTTGAACAGTTGGTCAGCCAGGCCATGTGCCATCGAATGGAACAAGTAAAAATCGGACAGTGCAATATCTGGGGAATATATCGGGTGGGTTAGGACTTTTCATTTGAGCTTTCCCAATAAGTTTAAACAGGCTTGGAAACGTGAGGCCGAGTGTTGTCATGCAGTAAAATCACTCTGCTCGTATTGTGGCCGTTTTTCGCGCAGTGCTGCGCTAAATTGCATCAATTAATCGATGCCGTTCTCCAGTGATGATTTCGCACGGTTTCAACCTGTCACGATGCGATGAAGAAACCCTTCTTTTCTTGCCGCTGAAGCAGTTGTTCATAGGCAAAAAAACGACGCTCGACGTCTCTTGGCTTCAACTCACAAGGAACTCAAGTTTCTTGCTTCCGAATCATACCCAACGCAAGCAATCGCTTGGAAATAGCTTGACGGGTAACTCCTAATTCTGAAGTAAGCTCTTCTTGAGTTTGGCACGAATCCTCTTCGAGCAAGGTCTTCAATATAGCGGATTTGAAGATTATGGGCCTTCCTTCACGAGGGGGTCGTCTACAGCGAAATCACCGTCTTTGAAGCGACGAAACCCATCATGGCATGTTGTACTCAGAACAGCATTTCCATAGCTCTCGATGCACTTGAGCTGCCGGGTTTTTTTCGAATGGAAGAAAAGAAACACTTCTCGCAAATAACGATTGTTTGGCATAAAATTAAATATTTTCATTTAACCAGAAGTATGTAATGCAAAAACAAAATCACTTATATGTCGCAGCAGTTTGTTTACCATATAACTTGGTACCAAGATTTCGCTTGTACTTTAATACTTAATACTTTTTCCATATTTGGACTTATTCGATTCAGAATGACTTGAAACGTCGACAAAACAAACATCTCCTTGAGAAAATTAATAAAAACAGTACAATCTTGTGCATTGTCCTGTCGCGACATTTCGCATTTATTTACATATTTCTGACATAACATATTTCTCTATTACGTATTTAATACAAAATATAATAAATCTATTAATATACATATATTTAAATTATTTCATAAAAACTATACATCAAAAATACTGTTAACTTTGATAGATAAAAATATGTGATTTTTTTTAAAACTGTCCAAAATATACCAGGAAGTATAATCTGAACAATATTTTACTAAGACGAAAAACTATAAATATTATTCGGTTATATAAAATTAATTATTTAAATTTACTTTTAATTACCACTCCAGAAAGAAACATCTCATGCAATAAATTATTATAAATTACAGTCCACAACATATACTTATATTCTCCTCATATATACAGCATTTCAATACACCTGCCATTTGGTGATGTTACCAAATCTCATATACAAACACACCTTGCAAAAAATACCACACTGTCATTGTCAGTAATTCTATATTACCAATACCATATTATCAATAGAGATCACACTCTAACAATATAAATGAACACTTAAGTAAATAAGTGATTACCTCGTATCTTATTTTTAGATAGACTTATGCTGCAGTGACACATATCAATGTAGATGGTATGAAGGCGTCCATTAATCACGTGAGCGTCAAAGGGGAGCGGGTTTGACAAAAGATCACAAAATATCACGTTAGGGAGGGAGAGTCTAGTAAGATATCACGTGCATTTATTTTCAACCTCGATTAAAAAAAAATCTATATTTAAAAAAAAGTCAAATATTTTACGATATTTGTCAGGTACTAAAAATACAAGTGATTTTGTGTGGGGGAGGAAGGGTAATTTGAAATATCACCAAGGGGGAGGGAAGTCCACAAAACCTTAGAAATCGATCACGTGATTAATGAACGCACCCTCCCTATCAATATAAATATGTGACTGGGATAATTTGCAATTGAAGTTGCTGTTTATGGTAACGCGGTATATCAAGAAACTAGCCGAGTCTTGTTAAAACACAAAACATAATTAGTGTTGTTCATTGCTTCGTTTTCACATTAAAATATCCAAAGTCTTTAAAAATTTTAGAAATTCTATTGAATTCTATTCCATTAAATACACACCCAGTGGTATATTAAAATAATTCTGTGTATTATTTCACATCTAAAATTTGTGTTCCACAGTAGCTGGAGGAGATGGTGCAAATCGAGAACCAAGCGGTACTGGTAAGGGGCCGTGAGGTCTTCTAGGCCTGCGCACACCTCTGTGTGCGGGACCAGATAATTTCAAGCGTGGTCGCCCAGGTCCACGTCTATAACAAGAGCCCTGTAATAATCTTGAGCTTGGTGACAGAGGATTACTACCAGGTGAAGCGTCGCTAGTGGAAGAAGCACTCACATTGATACCAGCAGAAGTACCAGCACTGGGAGGTTCCATCGGCGTTGCATCAAGAGTAGAATTGGCTGCATAATACATTATAATTCAGTTTATGTTGAATAAGATTGATGGTTGCATGCTAAGAGTGAGTAATATTAGGTAAAGTAAAAAGAAATCCATCATTTTAGCATGAAATTGAAGTATTAATTACTACAGTTAGAATGGTCCTATTTAGGTCAATTATGCGCCGTTGTTCGATAACTTGTTGCCATTTTGAAGATAATATCATTATGCCTTTGCCATGGAAACCTTGAATGGCGTATTCGCCTTCATCGAACAAAAAGTGTGAAATATAGTGTATTTTTCTCTAATGTTTTTTTTTCACTTCACCTAATATATGAACTAGTAAAAAAACAATAGAAATCGAAATATGTGAATACTAGAAAAAATTAATAGTTATAAAACTTATCAACGCGAAATAGTAAAACTGACCCGGCGTCTGCTCTGCTCCAGGTGGCCTAGAAGTAGGAGCGCCATTACCACCACCTCTACGAGAACCCCTAGGTCGTCCCCGTTTCGTACCACGTGGATGATGTCGTCTACGCGGATTGAATCCGAGCGAAAACCCTGCAAAGGTAGCTGTAAACATATTCGTATCAGTTTTACTACAGTGGCATAGTAAGAGTAATGCAATTATTATTTTTCAATGTAACCAATAGTATTATTATTATTTAACCTTTTTTTTATGTAAGAGATGACAAAGCATGGAATATAAAAATTCAAAAAATATATAAAAATGATTTGTGTCTTAACATAAGGAAAACAATAATATCCTACTTTCTTCTCTTCGGGAAGCTTCTTCAGCATCCACTATTATATTATCTGTTTCCCCGCCGTATCCTGAACTAGATGCCGAACTCCCAAGTGTGAGGGCACCCGAGCATTCGCTTCGCGGACTACCTGGAACGGACGACTCGGGCTCTGGCGGTTGGCTTGCAGAATTCTCTGTAATATCCGGTGTTTGTGGACGACCACGTTTTGCCTCAGGATGCTGTTTTTAAGTTATAAGAGTAATTTTATGATTAAAAATGCTTTATTACAGAAAAAAACATTTGTGAATAAATTTCTCTTTTTTAAATATGCATTCGTTTCATATGTAGTAGATACTTTACAATCTTTTATAATAATACAAGTTGATAAAACATCAAACATAATTTGCAAATCCTCAATATCACTGCACTCACAAACGTTCATTATATCTTTCCCATCACGTTTGGCCACAGTAGTATCTACTATTGCTAAGATATTGAATTCAATATTAAAACTTAGCATTTTCTGGAATATGTTTGTCTGAAGTTCAATAACAGTAAATTATGGGTCTTAAGTAATTATGTAACGCTATAAATTTCATTTCTATTTTGGTTCATTAAATTTAATAACCGTTTTCATATATTGGTTTTGCCCTATACATGATCATAAATACAATCATTTAACCATCTTGATCTTGCAATAACTATTAAACATTAAAATTTAATCAGCTTTTAAAGTAAATTATTTATTTCTCAGTAACAAAAAAAGTATTTTGTGATTTAGAAATATTAGTCCTATAATTCAATCAATATTAAAAATTAACGATGTAAAACAAATGTTAATTGACTTGACAAGCAAGATATTCATTTATATAATGTCACAAGTGTATTCTTTTGTATATAAAAAGATTTAGTACAAAAAAATTTAAAGCTAAAAAATGAGAAACAACAAGAAATCAAAATGTAACTCACCTTTGAAGTCTGAGATAACTTTCGCTTTTTGTTAATATCATAGTTTTCATCTGACTTTTGTCGATCTAATAACATAAATATCAAATATTAAAATATTACAATTAAATTAGTCAAAACTTATAGCTATTTTTATAAAAGATGTTTCTACAAAAATTATTTGCGAATGAATTTTAATGATTTATTTTATACAGAAGATATTAATTTAATAAACTTATTTACTCAGTCTGCAAATCAATAAAATCTTAGAAGTATATACTCACATTTGAGTTCCAATTCATCATCATCTAGAAGCAAAGATACAACTTCTTTTGGTTTTAGTGAGTCAGGTTTAAAATTTCCTCCACTTATTACCATACGTTGAATCTAAAAAATGTATTAAGTGTTAATATATTTAAATAATTAAACATATTTTTTTAACAGATTATAAGTAATATTTAAGTAACATTAGTTTCTTAAAAAGTGCAAAAACAGTTTTAAATAAGATTGGAATTTTATTTTAAAAAATATATACTGCTGCATATTAAAAACACATGAAATTTGTGATATGTTTTTAGTTAAATTTATCATACCTCACTCTTTTCACGGGCACGCTGCAATATACGTTCCTCAATAGTTCCTTTGCATATAAGCCTATAAACAGTTACTTGTTTAGTTTGACCCAAACGATGCGCGCGATCCATAGCCTGCTGATCAACTGTGGGATTCCAATCGCTATCGTAGAATATCACCTTTAAGAAATAATTCCATGATAGAAATACAAAATATAATATGCTCATAAAAAAAGAATATTATCCATATGATCATATATAAACACTCGAAGACTTGAAAAAGTATGATTATATAATAAAATAATATTATATAAAGCTGCAATTATATATTCATATGTCCTAACTACCTGTTATATAGAAACCGACAAACTGATTAAAAAATATATGTAACATAGATATTATATATTAATTTATTATTGATAGCAAAGAACTACAAAGTAAATGTAATAATGAAATATGTATTATTTGTTTAAAAACTAAGTAATTTTGAAAATCAATGGTTTCTTATAAACAGCCGAAGTTTACATATGTTGTTGTATTATTTTCTACATTCAAGTTAAGATAAAGAAATGTTATCATTGAGATCATAATTTAATCAACAAATGATTTGATCTAAATGGTATAAAATACTTATTATTACTGAACACTGAAACATTTTTTCTATAGTAATGTAATGATTAGGGTTTGTCGGTTTTCAAAAACCGGTTTTAAAAACCGGTTTTTTGGCGAAAATTATGGAATTCGAAAACCGGTTTTTCAGTGAAAAAAGTCGGTTTTCACTGTATAAATGGAAAATGACAAATATAGCCATATATAAAAGATAGATGAAAGCGTTTTGATTCTTAAAATCATATCGTTTCAATAGCATTTGATATCTTATCAGTCTGCAATGGTTCCCAGAAAAATTTTGTATATAATAATTTAGATTTTTATACAAGTGTATATATTAATTTAAATCAGTGTGACTTCTTCTTGAAGTCCTCTACTCAAACTTAAAAAAAGAGTTTTAAACTTTAGATAGAAGTCACAAATAAAAGAACAAAAAACTTAGAATTATTATATTAGGCTTTAAAATTAGGCATAATTTGGTCGCAAGTATGAAAGTATTTTCTATTTCAGGAAATTTTGTGAGTAAACAAAGGACACAGCAATTCGATAGACGTTCTCAATGTTTTCAAATCATATTTTATTAATCAAAAAACAATTAGAATGTTCAAAATTAATTAATTAAAATTGCTCGGATCAGAAATAAAAGTTTAGCTTTAATTGCTTTTAAAACTAAAATTGATATTAACAAGTATTTATCAACATATATATAATATTTTTTTTATTTAATGATTTTTTCTTATTCAAAAACTTTCCTTTCACTATCATAAAAATATTTTCATTCTTATATGTAAAATAATGCATGAATAACAAATGATTATTTTCAAAATTATTTAATCAAGATAAACTATTTTTTAGTTCTACTAATTAAAATTAAAATAATTTTGTTTACTATCAATAAAATTGAACAATGAATAAATTCAGTTAAATACTATTCTAAATTACACTAAATTAGCGGATAAATTACAGAATATTTGAGCAAAAATTTATTTTCTATATAAAATTCGAAAACCGATTAAAACCGGTTTTTTAGTAAAATTAAAATTCGAAAACCGGTTTTCTGAAATGTCGGTTTTTGTATAAACCCTAGTAATGATCTCTTGTAATTGAAAAAACAATACATAACGTCACATGTAAATCATCAAATAATATAAACATAGGAATACTTTAAAAACATGCTTTTCTCCAAAATTCTTACAGCAAGACATATAGCACTCTTGATTTAGTTTGTTAAGATAACTAGAAATCATATTTACTTCCTGTTTATAAAATTCTATATAAAAACTACTATTCAAAATATTAAATATGCTAATCTTACAGTATCTGCAGCAGTAAGATTAATTCCCAAGCCGCCAGCTCTGGTACTCAATAAAAATACAAATATGTCTGCACGCGATTGAAAATCAGCTACCATATCACGACGAGCTGATATTTTACTGGACCCATCTAATCTCATATATTTATGTTTACGGTGCCACATATATTCCTGTATTGAAAATAAATTAAAAGTTAATATTTTACATGTAATTAGGATCAAGCTTAAAATCATTACCTCTAATAAATCAATCATTTTCGTCATTTGAGAGTAAATCAAGACACGATGACCACCTGCTTTTAGACGGGTGAGTAAATTATCTAATACTGCAAGTTTTCCAGCATCCGAAACTAAAGTTTGCTTATCTGCAAAAGGTTAAAAATTTATAAGAAACACGCTAATTCTATGTATTCGTGGTTCATATATAATCATATATGACTATCCGAGATAGATTTCTCTACAATTCTTTTCTACAAAAAATATTTTTTTAAAAAAGTGACCACAGACAATTAGTTCTTTATTGCAATTAATAATTACTTACATATTATTTGGCATCATTAGGTGTTATTCTAGTAAGTTCATGTAAGTACTGTCTTTGCAATATTTTAATATAAGATTTGGATATACAGTAGAACCTTGATTATCCGGACATCAGTTATACGGATTTGCGATTATCTGAATTTTTTCACGATTTATGCTAGAGTTTAGTATATGTATGTAATATAATTTAAGAAAATATAGATGTACATATATGAGAAAATATTATTTTCTTATTAAACATTGATTTTCGTTAATATATTGATTTGATTTGTTATTTTTGATAAATACACATCATTATTATTCATACATTAGATTATCCGGATTCTCGATTATCCGGATGCCTATCAACAACAATTAGTCCGGTTAATCGAGGTTCTACTATATAATTTTGCAACAATGTATAAGAAAGAGGCCATTCACTGAGATCGATTTCATCATTGATTATCATACTATATAACAATAAATAAATATAAATGATTCATATGAAGATATACGATATAAAGAATTATACTGCGTCAATTATATATTTTGTTTATAAAAATCATTGATAACAAATTAGATACGACGACGATGCAGGTGAACGCATAATAATTTTTATAAAAGACTTCTATTCATTGAAATAGAGCGTGAAATATAAACAATCGGCATGTGTAAAACATATTGCTTATTTTCAATTTTTAACAAAATACTGGTAGTACCAAATTGCCGGAATCCAGGTATTGAAAATCCTCCTTACAATCAAAAAAACTAACTAGCTGTAAGTGGAATTCTGTCTTGAGGCAATTATGGCATCGTGCCTTAAGGGGTTAGGGGTACTTGCAGGCACGAAAAAATGAGTGTTTTCAGTATTTTTTTTTTGTTATTAAACGATGTTTTTCTACAAAAATATTAATACAGCATTATTATACAATGTTTTGACTTGAAATAACAAAAATTTCAGAAAAAAAAAATCAATATTCCCAAAGTTATAGCTGTTTTTGTTGACCCTGTTTCGAAAAACGGTCCTGGCGGTGACCATCATAACTCCTTGGAGATTCATCTAACATCAATCAAATTAAAAAAATAGTTTTATGAATAGTTAATCCCGGGCCGGATCAAAGGTTTTCTTTTTTTTGCAAAAATTAACAAAATGGCAGCATCAGAAAGAAAAAATCTAGATTTTTGGATAAAAAATCAACAGTTAATTGGTCTTAAAAAATTCAAATTTTTGAAAAAATAAAAATCCTTCGATCAGGCACGAGTTTATTATTTATTCTAAAAGCTGTATGAATTTCATTAAAATTTACTAAGTGGTTTTCGAGTTACAGTGGTCACCGTTTCAAAAAACATAGTTTTGAGAAAAACGCGTTTAAAGTTTCACATTGGATTTACGTACAGAAATTCGAATTATTGAATTACTTAAACCGAGTCATCTATATCTGGGCCATATAATAGTTTATCAGTCATTGTGCAAGTTTCCAAAATTTCCATTTGCTGTTGCCTACAAAGCATTCTGGCCTCCTAAGTATTCTCGTTGGCGCGCTGATCTGCCACTTTCACACGTGCAGCATCCAATTTTTCAGCTTACCAATGAGAATTATGCCCACAATTAGGTTCTAGGGTATCCATAATCAATAATAATAATTATGTATATACATTCAGCAATTTGTACGATAGTAAAACTAGTATTCACGGTTTCTAGGTATATTTTTTACACTAGTTGGTTGAAGTTTTTAATTTTTTCTGATTATGGATTCAATCTTGAACTACACATCTTGAAAGTAAAATATCATTGCTGGTATCATCGTAAATCGGTTTAAAAGCTTTTAAAACATCAGGAGGTGAGGGAGAATAATCTTGAGTATAAGTATCGAGCTCTCCACTTGCGTCAACGCGCTGGTAAGAGTCCAATAACTCAAAAAGTAATCATCGGATTAACTTGAAATTTTCAGAGAATATTTTCAAGATGTTACCCTTAATGAAAATGCAAAAAAATAAAAATCGATTTTTCAAAAATCCCAAGTACCCCTAACCCCTTAAGGCAAATTGCTGGAACTTCCCGTTGAATACTGAATGTTTTCAAATAGATTATTATAAATATTGTATCATTGTCTAATATAAAATAATAAAATAAAATCTGAAATATTTTCGATATGCAAAAAACCAAAAAAAAAAAAAAAAAAAAAGTTGGAACAAAATTTTTTTTTCCAAAATAAATTATTTTGTTAAGACGAGCAGAAAGTTCTTTGAATCATTTAAATCGGACGCTTAGTTCTCTCAAAAACTGCCATTTTTTACATATTTAGCTCCGTATCTTCGAAATGGTTGGGCCTGCCTTTGCCAAGAACTAATAAACACTTCTCCCAATCATTACTAATTGAATGTTTTTTAGATCATTCAAATCGGATACTCCGTTCTCTCAAAAATTCGATTTCTATTTTCTGCACACTTTGCTCCGTATCTCCGAAACGGCTGGACCTGCCTTTGCCAAAAACTAATCAGCTCTTTTCCTTATCAATAGGAATCGAATGTTTTTTGAACCATTCAAATCGGTTGATCCGTGCGCCCTAAAACGTGACTGGAAATTTGTATCCACACATACATACACACACACACACACACACACACACATCCATTTTTTCTGAGGTATGCCAAAACGTTCAGAAACCTTCAAAACGTCGAGAAATGTAAAAATTTTCAATTCCGATTTTCGGCCCATTACAATAACTTACCCTACGGGAAGTTAATAACAAAAGAAAAAACTTTTGTTATGGATTTTCAAACATTGCCGTTTATGCCCTGATAGCGACGTCGTAATATCATCGCTAATAACAAATCAGAGTGAGGGCTGGTAATACATCTTTTACTCTTTACTTTCAAATATTTTTGTTAAAAAATTCTTAACTTCATTTGTTTTTGACATATTGGTGGTGAATCTTTTTACCCTTTAAGCTCTTGAAGTGGACATTTTTGCACCGCTCTACCATATTCATCAACAGTGTTGAAATGACTATTAATTTGTCTCTTGCAAAAAAAAAAACTAACAATGAAAGAAAATACTATCGTTATAGATTTTCAAACATGACCATTTATTTCCTAATAGCGGCGGCGTTGCTTGATTTGAGACGATGGTTGATAATGCATCTTTTGCCTTCTACTTTCAATTGATGTTGATCAAGAATTCCTAATTCCACTTATTTTTGAGATACTGGTGGTATGTAGATCCGCAAACCTTTTATCCCCGCTCTACCTTATTATGCTTCACTTCTTACCTGGAACAATGATATTTGACCAGCCTTTTCCAGGCTTTGCTGCTTCTAGTCCTCCAATATCTTCAAATGAATATCCCAGAATAGGGGCTGATCCACAACTCACTAATTGAAGACCAGCTAAATTTTCGCACTGATCGTGTCTTATTTTAGCCCATTGTGCTGCTCTGTTTGAACAGTACAAAGCACGAGATTTCGTTTGAACCTAATTAAAAAATATAATATAATTATTAAAGTATTGAAGTCCTTGTTCAGTACAATAAAAAAATAAGAATTTTATTCCCTGCTTCATCCATTCAAATAATTTTTATATTGGTTAAAAATAAAATTGAATAAAACTGAAGTTAGTAATTTTTTTTCAAATCGTAATTTTAAATTACCTTAATTAACGTAATTTTTTCAATTTACCTTAGGATATAAACCATATACAAACAAAGGCATATTCGTTGGCTGGCATTTAAATATTCTGGGTTTTCTTTCCTTATGAATGATCTCATGTAGCAAGCTGGAATTATCTAGATCATCCTACAATATAAAATGTGAGTAAATTTTTAAAAATTATTAATTGTCATTAATTTTATTAAAACATTTTTATATTAAATATATGTCAAAATTGCTTGCTAAGAAAAAAGTTTTTTTTTAGAGATTGAACATTTTCATAATAATAAGTTTAATATCAGTTATATAAAATCTTTGGTGCTTGCTATTCCGTCTCTTAACATTAGCTTGAAATTTTCTCATATCATTTTTTAAGAGCTACTTAACAACACCAACATAATCTGTTGGTAGGTCATGATTAAAATGTAACATCTCTACTAAATTAAAAAAGCGGCCCATAGACATAATTTCCCCAAATATATGGCTACGTAGGAGTTTTTTGACACTCCAATATTCTAGTAACAATAATTTCTTGTTTTGTGTCATTAAATACAATACAGCAAGAAAAATCAATACAATTAACAATTTAAATTAATATAAAGAAGATTCAATTTAATATAAGATTGTCTAGGAAGTTTAATGTTATTACAGCTCATTATGTGGTTGATTGTGATTATCATCAGAATGAAGTTAATTTTATACATATATTTCTAAATAAGATCACCTATTAATAGAGCTAATCATAAATAATAAGAGTAATACATTCAGTTTTTAATATGATAATACCATATTGACTTGATTTTTACTCCTAATGATCCTGTGTTCCATGGTTTCTTGCATGTAATGGTAAATATGGTTTGTATGTACATAGATTGAACTTTCAGTTGACAAAGGTGAGGTGAATAAGAGAGATTTCAATATTTCACTATTAGCTCTTTTTGAATAAGAATGCAAATTATGGTCCAAATATAGCTTTAGCAGTGGCCTGTAAATAAAAGTGTTGTGATAGTTATCAATATTATATATATTTATTTATTTATTTATTCATAAGCAAGCCGCAATCGATAATAATAGATATTATTTCAATATCATAGATATACATACATACATATATATATATATATATATATATATATATGTGTGTGTGTGTGTGTGTGTGTACATACTAGCGGTACCACGAATTACGGGTCACCCGAGTGTACGAGCGTAACACATGGTAGATATGCACTGTGTTTAAACAAAAGGAGTTAATGAAGGGTAGAACTACTATAGACAGCATTCTGAGCTCTAAAAGTTTACAGGTTTAAAACAGATTAGTTAGTGTAAAAATACACCTAAGATAACCATAAGTCCCAGTTTGCCCGGGACAATACTGGATTTCACCTTGTGTCCCCGATTTTTCCAGAAACAAAATTTGTCCCGGATTTAGATCATTTGTCCCAGGTTATTCTGAGTTTGCAAGAAGTATTGGTTTATATTGAATCTTTGCTTAATAATAAAATGACAACTACTCATAAAATATCTGAAAATGATATATATATATATATATATATATATATATATATATATATAACGAGTATGTTTATATGACACTATACGTTATGTACGTTATGTTATTAATGAGAAAATAGCTGTATGCAAAACTCCAAAGGCATGTTATAGTTCTCTCACATTAATAATTTTGAACAATTATTTTGAATTTTAAAATCATCAAATGTGAAATAGAAAGTTTTGAGTGACTAGTACAAGGGATAATTTTTACTAACTAAATTATGAAAAACATTAACAGAATTATTTACAACGCTTAAAGGAAAAGCAAAATATAGATCATTTGAAATGAAAAAATATGATCACCTTAATATACCTTCAAACTAGTCTTGTGGAATATGTCAATATTTTATGTAAAATACACAATATTGGAAATATTCTATATCAAAAGTATATAAAGAGGCATAAAATAAATGATATTTAATAATTATTTCATTTTTATAATATCACAACATGTAAAAAATAGTAATTTGATATTGCAATGCATAACAAATCAATTTTAAAAAATATTGCAGCAAAGTAAAATCAATGATTTTTACTACAACTAACTTGTCTCGACTATTACTATTATTTGTATTTATATTAAAAATATATTACCTTTTGTATGAAGATAAACCGTTCTCTAACCACAATTGATTAAAAATAACACGATCACCTTGCTTTTGTTCTGATAACAAACTGCACCAACTACAAACAAAATGTCAAATAAATAAATAGCAAATCAAATATAAAAAAAAAAATTTAAATAAAAATAATATAAAACACTCACAATTTTATAATACCTCCCAAAGAAACATCTTCAACTTCTTGATATGACAAATCTATAAATCTTGTAAAAGAAAATGTAGAAGTAGAAAACTGTGAAGAATTCTTACTTGTTCCCAACGTTTCACTTAATGATGTACATATATTAGAGGCAGTAAAAATATTAAACCTAAAAATCATAAGAAGTATCTTAAAAAGCATAATATAAAAACAATTGAAAAATGTGAAAACAGATTTAAAAAAACAGTCCAAAGAAAGCATTTGCAGAACAAAATTATAAAATCTGTAAAATCTCATATTTCGAGAGTATAATGTCAAATTTTTGTCAAATAATACATTAAATTCTGTGTTGTTACTTACTTATTGTAAAGTAAGTGTTTTTTGGATGGAAATGATTGCTTCAAAATGCCATCATTATATATCAACACTGGCACAACGTAATCATTAGTTTTCATAGCAAAAGGAGATCGAGCATCTCTTCTCTCAAAAAGCTCCGGATGATTGCAAACTTTACGAAATTGCATCACTAAATTCATAAGATTTGATGTAAAATTTTTATCAACTAAATGACCAGAATCTCCTCCTCCTCCGATTGTGTAATGCAATAAATCCTCTATTCGAATTTTTTGACGTAAAGCTAGAACAGAATTTTGTAATTAGACTGCAGAACCTGAATGATCTCGAGAGTAGATCATAAATTAAAATTTATAAACAAAAATGCATGAGTGATTCTAGGCCATAAAATATTATTACATTATTGTCCACATTATAATATGTAGATGTTAATAGAAAATATTAAACCCATTGACAGTTCTATAAAAATAAATATAAATATAAAGATCTATTTTTAATTTTATGTGTTTAATATAATATAATATAATTAATATAATATAATAAACTAAGTGTTTAAATAAATAAAAAAAATAACAATAAAAATTAGAATATGTAATTTCTAATAGCTTAGCAATTTGCTTTATAGTAAAAAATCACCTGTATACCTAAAATATCTGCAAATAGAACTGATTGAAACCTATAGCTAAAAGTTTGAATTCTCAAAAATAGATTATATCTGTAAAACTATACTTTCGATGATGATGCAACATAAAATAAAATATGAACATACACACAGATAGTATTAACATAAAAACTATAGAAAAGACAATAAGAAATTATATATTTACCAATATAAAGCAACTTCTGCCGGGTAGTTAGTGGACAATACACCATAATTTCAATTTTATCAGATAACTCGTTTTCAACATCTTTCTTTATTCGGCGAAGCATAAAAGGTTTTAATATCATATGTAGTCTTGATAAGTGTTCTATAAGTAATTATGACATATTTAATTTTACACATTAATATAATACATATATATATATATATATATATTAATATATATATATATATATATATATATATATGTATGTATATATATATATATATATATAACATTACATGTGCAAAATAAAACCAATAAATTTAAAATAATGATTTGTTATTGCTGAGAGAGTAGTTAATAATTAACTTGAATAAAAATATTGTTTCTTATTGTTTCACAAAGATTTCGAATATTCAAATTATGTAATATACATTTAAACAAGTTGAACTTAATATTTTAATTGTCACAAAAAAATACCTGAAATTGCATAAGATATAAAAATTTCATTTCCATTCAAGATTTTTTTCTTTAAAACACTGCTATTTATTTTATATACTCTGAAAAGGCAGCACAACCAAGAAAAAAATGGTTTTCTATGCAAAAGATTATATGTCCACAAAATGGCATGGTTACAGATGATAAGTAAATAATTTAAAATTTCCGACTCAAAACTAAATTTAACAAAATTACGAATCAAAATTTTCAATTAAAATAATAACTATATATATTACTGGATTATAAAGTTAGTTAATAAAAAAAAAATAGAATTATTATAACTCAATACAAACTTTCATCAATGCCGGTTTTATTTTCAGCATGACTTTCAATATCCTTAGAAAACCACTCATTAAATTCATCATGCGAATCGAATAAAGTAGGCATTATGAAATGCAACAAAGCCCACAGCTCAGCCATGCTGTTCTGAATTGGAGTACCACTAAGTAATAACCTATTAAAACAATTTCAGTTTTAATTTTTAATTGAAAATTGTAATAATAAACCATAATTTATATCAAACCTCTATGGGCCGAATTAGGGTTTTACATTAGAAAAAAAATAGGTGAACAAAAAAAAGTATTTATAAGCCTATATATGCAAAACAAAAACAAAAAAATCAGTTTGAATGAATTTTTTGGTATCAATGTGACTTCTAAGTCAGACGGCCTATAATGTTTGCACTTCTGTGTATGAAAATGCTGTTTACATCTTGACAAAGTTATAGAATTTATATTTATGCATCATCTCACAAAAAAGCCATAATTATTTTGTCTAATATCTAAAAATTATGTGGACTTAAAAATGTTCAGTAACTTCCGAATTTAACAGTAATAACCAAATTGAATTTTATTACAAAATATAATTAAAAACCCCATATGTTAATTTTTAACTAAACCGTATTCCAATCAAACAATAGGCTTGTACCCTTTTTGTATGATGTATATAACTGTATCATTGATTATATTGTGGGTGCATTAAATTGCATTAACAATATCAATGAGAAACAATGACAAAAAATCTAGATAATACTAAAATTTTCAAACTCATTATTGATAAGAACATAAAATTTGACAATTATTAAGTGGTAAAGTTACACAATTATATTATTCTTATATACCTGTTTCGGCAATTAAAACCTAATAATAATTTCCATCGTACACTACTGCTTGATTTAATTGCCTGGGCCTCATCCAAAATCATATATTGCCACTTAATGCGATTAAAATACTTGTAATCGCTTATAACTAACTGATAACTTGTAATAACTACATGAAAACTGGCATCCTTTGTATGGAGGCCTTTTTGATCCCAGAACTGTCGTAAAATTTTTCTCTCATGTGGAGAACCCCAATATGGAACCTGAGAACAAATTCTTTGTAGTTATTAAAAATTGGTTATGTTAAATAAATGTTTAAATTGAGTTAATGTAATTATTAAAAACTTAATAAATAAGTAATGTTTCAGAGGTTAGACTTAATTTGAAATTTTTATAATATTTTCATAGTAAAATATTTGTTCCAACTTACAACATTGAAATCGGGTACAAATCTGGCCATTTCTTGCTGCCAATTGTGCAATGTAGAAGCTGGTGAAATAATAAGGAAAGGACCCCAGACACCATAACGTTCAGCAACATGACATAGAAAAGCTATTGATTGAACTGTTTTCCCTAAACCCATCTCATCTGCTAAAATTCCACTGATACCCTACAAAATAAACAAAAGATAACTTTAATACAAAAAAAACAGCAAGATTCTGCTATGTTAAGAATATCATATATGTACAAATGCAAATACATAAATAAAATTACTTGTACTAAATAAGTCTCCTATTTATAAATAATCGTATATATATATACACCTAAGTCTGTTTTTACACGGTAGATTGGTTCCAGAAAAAGCCGTGTAAAAAAAAAACGTGTAAAAAAAGACATTGATCTTATACAAAAATGGGTGATTTGTACGTAATGTCTAAAACCTATTAAAATTAGTGAAAAACAAGAATTTTTAAGAACAAGAATTCATGTTTATTTTATTAAATCAAATATATAATGCTTATTTTCACAAGCATAGTAATTAATGATAAAAAAGATATGCACTCTAATCTTAAAAGTAATATAAATTAATTGTATGGCAAGTTCAGGAACTAAAAAACTATGTTGTAAACGAAAAGAATAGGTTATTACTTAAATCTGACAAGTAAATTTTATTGTATGCACATAAAGGAAATTCTCCTAAATTAGTGCTATTCACATTTGCTTTGACCAGTAAAAATTGTTTTCATAAATACTTTTTTGTGATATGAACATACTTTGCAAAAATTAAATTTGACAAAAAAATTTAAGTACATAAAATTTCAAATCGTGCTAAATGGAATAAAATCGTGTAAAAAAATTAAAAATATTCAATTTTCAAACCGTGTTATATCAAAACCGTGTACAAAAAGACCGTGTAAAAACAGACTTAGGTGTATATATATATATATATATATATATATATATATATATGAGTAAGTTCTTCAAGGGCATACATCAAATAAATTTCATTTTATTTGATGTATGCCCTTGAAGAACTTACTCATATTTCTCAACATCAAAACTAACTTCTTTTATATATATATATATATATATATATATATATAATCTTATATATAAATTGCATATATCTTTCTTTAAAATCAATGGTAAATTTTAATGTACACTAATGTTGTTTAAATTTTGTCTCTCATAAAATCTAGTTGAATGTTATATTTTTTGAAAAAATGTTTACCAAGTGTGTGCATACTTGAAAGTTTGATAGTCGTGGCAAAGTCGTTCTCATGTTCAAAATCATAAAATCTAACATATATTTATTACAATTCAACAAGATTTATTAAATAATTTTTGATTTAAAACCCTAATTAAAATTCAATTGCAAAAATTATAAAAACTTAAAAGTTATAAAAAGTTTAAAGTTAAAAAACAAATGTTTGAAGTTATAAAGCAAACCTGATCATAAAGATTGGCCAACCACGTCATGCCCTTTAACTGATAACCTTTCAAATTTCCTTTGAAAATTGTTGGTTGTGGTTGATCTTCAATGCTGGAATCTAATGGATATGATAAAGCAGCACTAGCTGAACTATCGAATTTCTTTGTTCGTGCTTGTTCTGATAAAAACGCAGCGGACGCATTTTTCTTAGCTTTTTGCTTCATTGATTCACTAAAACGTAAAATATTTTAAATACAGATTTCATTCAAAATTACATAATCACAAAATCAATCATATTGCATTTCTTATTACAAGTTTCTATTTGTATGATGGTCTTTCCATTAATATAAATTTAAAATCAACTGAATGAAATAAAATTGTGCTTCTATTAGATTTTATTATTAAATTACTTAAAATACAGGCTTGCAAATATCATAAAATCTAGTGATTTTACAGAAACTTTCATGAAACTCAAAAAGTATTTAATATCATTGACAAACATTGACAAAATTATACTCATGAAATTAATTATTGAAAATATTAAAATATGCATGGTGTTTCACAAAATATTGCAGTCCTGTTAATTATAAAATATGTTATATAGCCTTATATATGAAATTAAATTGAAAACAAACTCAACAACGCAATAATATTATCCATGCATATATTAAAATAATTAACTTAAATAAAAGTCCAAAGTAATTGAACAATGGGTATTAAGAGTCATTTCCCAAACCATTTGAGCAAGTTATATATTCTTTTTGGGCGGTTAACAAAAATTTAAGGAATAACATTGCACATAATAATTTCCACATTAATATAAAATTCATTACAAATTACAAATATAATAATAAAATTCATTATTAAAAACACTATTAAATATGTTCCCACTTTGAAATAAATTATACAAACCAGTCATAATCATCAATTGCAGCTAGCCTGGGGTTTATTTCCTCATCAAGTTGGCTTAGAATACGTAGCTGCTCCTCGGGAGAAACTTTTCCTAACTTTTTTGACATAAAATGGGCATATAGCTCAGTTTGAGTAATCAAGAAGTTTAATTTACGCTGCTGTCTTTTAGCTTCAATTAACTCAACGTCCATCTTAAAAAGAATATTGCAGTTATTAAGAAAGTAGTGAAGTAATTTTACATCAATATTATTTAAGTTGATATTCACATGTACCAAGATGTTTTAATAATTACTATGAATTATAGGTGAAACCCATACCTATATAAAGCAAAATGATTTCTAAGTTTAAAAAATGTATTACATTATAGTGTTAAATTAAAATTTGACAAAAATATACTATGGTCATACAATATTGGCTAATTATTCAGTTTAAAAACAAAAATATTAATATTTTATTAAGGCTAACTTTATTTAAAATATGGAAGTATATTATAAGTTATAACAGGAATGTAACTGATCAATCAACAAAATAAAACTGATCTATCAAAAACTTTGATTGATAAAGCTTTTTTCTATATATAGTTAATATCAATTTTTTACATTGTAGATCCACTGATGATGCCATAAAATTTTTGTCAAAAAGTTTGTAAAATTGAAGATTAATTCATAAATATTTGATTTTATTTTATGTATCGCCTTCTAATTAAAAAAACTTACATATCTCAACTTCAATATATATATACATATATATAGACGCATTATATATATATATATATATATATATATATATATATATATATATATATAGATTATATCAATTTTTTACATTGTAGATCCACTGATGATGCCATAAAATTTTTGTCAAAAAGTTTGTAAAATTGAAGATTAATTCATAAATATTTGATTTTATTTTATGTATCGCCTTCTAATTAAAATTAAATATATATATATATATATATATATATATATATATATAGGGTGGTCCTTAAAATGGTCATTTTCGAATTTCCTTGCTCCCAGGGGCTCAAATGGTTCCAAATAGATAAAAAACAATTCTCTGAAAGTTTTAGCTCTTAATCTTAACGTTTAGATAGAGCGCAATTCAATCAAAGTTTTGTATGAATATAGCATGGAAAAATTTTCAAAAATTTTAAAAATGTTTTTAGATGTAATTTAGCGAACAAATAAATGAATAAAACTCATTCATTTGTCGCTAAGTTATACCTAAAACATTTTATTTGAATTTCCAAAATTTTTTCCATGCTCTTTCCATACAAAGTTTGATTGAATTGCGCTCTATCTAAACGTTAAGATTAAGAGCTTAAACTTTCAGAGAATTGTTTTTTATCAATTTGGAACCATTTGAGCCCCTGGGAGCAAGGAAATTCGAAAATGACCATTTTAAGGTCCACCCTAATATATATATATATATATATATATATATATATATATATATATATGAATGAAAATAATAATTGTATTGACGTAAATTGTAAATATTGAATTTAAATAAAGTATCTATCTATCTATCTATCTATATAATGCGTCAAATACATTCCACAAAATCATATAAAATGTTCATACATATTTGGCCAACATCATATCTATCATATTTTTCACTCATTAATTACATATAAGATAATATATTTACTAAAGCTTATTATTTTTTCACAAAGTGATCTCTATATTTGTACTTCATACCCTAATTACTTATGCTGTGAAACAATCAGAATTTAAGTTACTATATTATTGTTATTATTCATCTGACATTAAAAGATTTGCATTAACTATTTACAACAATACCTTGCGTTGCTCCTCAGCTTCTTTCTCCATCCTGCGTTTAGTTTCTCTCTCTACCCTATCGTATCTTTTCCAATAAGCTTGCATTTCACGAGTCAACCTTTTGGCTCTCCATACATTTTCCTTTAATACTTTTTGAGTTGCCATTGCTCGTTGTCGACATATTTTCATACACACAGTGGCTAATCGCTTACAAGATGTTAAATTTTCCTGTAATAAAATTCGTTGAATAATGTAAGATAAATTTGCTGTTAAATATTAAATATTTGCTGTTTATTGTTATTGGGTGTGCTCATACTTGCATATATATATATATATATATATATATATATATATATATATATATAAGATATATATGCAAGTATATATGTATAATGTACCTTATGATTATTGACTTTAGATCTCTGAACCTTTCCCAATTCCTTTTTTGACATTAGTTGCCACATTTTACGTCTTTTAGCAGCCATGAATTCTGGAGTTTTGGCCATTTGTGATTTTTTCTTCGATCTGATAAATAAATTGCTTTAAACATTAACATTCATTCAATTAAGTTTTAATAAGCTATAATTAATAAAATGTGAAATAATTTTTATTCAACTCATTTAAAAACAGTGTAATGAGTGTATCCAACTAATTCAAACCAGGCACTCGATAAATAGCATAGACATGGTTGGACTTGCAATCGCAATTCATTTCTTGATGTATCGTATTATAGTAGATTTAATTTGGGCATCTTTGATCTTTTTTTATGATTTCTCATCATTATAAAATTTCTTATTTAATTTTAAGGCTGTTTCGATTTATTTCTTTTATTTCAGCTTGGGGATTCACCAAAATGTGAGTGAAATCATAGAAAAAATAGTGGAATTAACAATTATTTGAAGGGAGGAGATTAAATGTTATGCTATTTTATCAAAATCAAAAGCTAATGCAATTTGCTGATATTAATTTCAATGTTCGAAAACCATTATTTGAGTAAAGCTAATTTTGAACATAAAAAATTACAAGGTCTACATTATGTGAAATCATAGCTAAATCATCAGCCTGATATATTGTGTTAAACACACAAGTCTCACTTTTGAATTTAACAAGTGGTTTGAAGTGTAGAACATTATGAGTATTATTAATATTATGAGCATAATAATAAAATATAGATCATAAAATCTGTGACAATGTTGAAAATTAAGAAAATTTATTAAACCTGCTATAATGCTCTAAATATCTTTAGCTCTCAACACAGCAGCAGTTATTGGGACATGAATGACATTTCAATATTACCTCTAAATAGTTAATTACTTAAAAAAATAAATAAAGCAAAATAATATACAATTCCATAAACACAAAAATGATAATAATCTGTATCATTTAGTAAGAAGGATGTTATATATATATATATATGTGTATATATATATATATATATATATATAATCTTGTAAACATTTATGTAAAGAAGTTTAATTTGTGTCTAAAGATCAGTGAGTGAATTTTATATGTAGAAATTAGAATATTTTATAATTATTTGAACTTTATTGAATTTATATTCTAAATTTGTTTTTATTCTAAAATTTTATTAAAATTCTGATTTCATTACCTAGAAGCGGATTTATTATTGGCATGGCCAGAATATAATGGCAATTGGTATTCAAACTCTTGATAAGGAACTTCTTGTTTGAAATTATTACGCAATACACTTTTATTTGAGTGCATTTCATAACTGAAGTCTCCTTGATTATCATCTCGAAAAACATTTGATTTACTCTCTTTGTTACTGACTTTTAAATTTTTCTTGTCCTGTTTTCTCTTTCTTTTTTTTATATTCACATTAGATTTTAATTGTTCTGAAAATCTATCATGATTTGATAATAAACCACTAGAGTAGTACTGATACCTATGTTTCTGCAAATAATAACATCTAATAACTAAGTAGTTAAAAAGTTAAAACATAGTTTTACTTTTCATTAATTTTAATTTGCAATCTATTGGCAATATATTCATCTTTTAAATCAAATTTTAATTTGTATTATCTACAACATTTGAACTATATTAATAACAAATTATGGATAATGAAATATGAATTCAGTGATTTTCTTCATTATTATTTCGTATTTGTAACTGAAGTATTTGTAAACACAAAAAATTTAATTAATAATTTAATGTACATACACTAAATTTGTTACGTAGGCGTGCTTGTATATTCTTCCTTTTAACATGAACCTTGAGCATTTCTTGTAAATATTCATGATGTGACTTATAATATTCCACATCGCTATCAGAAGAATTACTATCACTTATTAAAGTTTCTTGCAGCCATTGTCGTTCCCTTCCAACATTTGTAAAATTGTATAATCGGAATTTATCTGAACGTCGTTCTAAAAATATCTAACATTAATAATGTGAAAATAGTCTTGCTTAACAATTATATATAAATATCTTTACCTTCTTTTGTTGTAACTACCTCATGAACAAGTTTATCACCATATACCAATACTTCTGGTACTTCTTGAAAATCAGAATCTGAATCGATATCTGAATCTGATAATGTTTGAGTTAAAATAGATTTTGCATAAGAGAAGTATGGCATTACATCTAAACTTGCTTCTAATCTTTGAATATGTATAGGTTTTGCAATTTCCAAATGTTTTTCATAAACACCGCCCAAATTCCTTTCCATTTTAATTTTTTTTTAACACAAACGTAGAGTTTCTTTCAATACATTCAATTAATAAACAACGCTTAAATTAAAAACATTTTTCGTCGCTGCAGTAAATTAATCAATCATATCTATCCAAAAAAACAAAATACAAATTTACTATCGCTTGCTTAACCTAACATTGACAATTTAATGTCAACAAAATAATCGATAAATGAAATATCGATATGATATTTAATTCAATTAAATTGCTTGCCATAGACCTTATATTACATGGACTGCTAGTCAAGCGCATACAAAATGTAAAAAGGTGTTCCCTAGACAATATAATAGGTAATAGACAATATAATAGATAAATGAGTCAATATAATAGGTAAAGACAATATAATAGATAAATGAGGTGTTCTCTGTTGCGAGGGCCGCCGAGAAACGTCAAGATCCTTGACAACAAAATAATAATGGTCAAGATAGATTAAATAAATGAATGCTTTGCGAGTATTGTAGGAGAACCGAGCAATTCGACATTAATCGATATAAAAATTGTGGATATCTTTCATATCCTTCAGATGAAATGTTGAATTTATGTTTATATATAGAATGTATAATTCGAAATTTCTCAAATTTAATGTACAAAAAGTCATATGATAGCATGATTCTCCGAAAGTTGATTGACTTGGTACTTGCACTTTTTTTAGATCAAGTCATTTCCAGCAATTTATCCAGCATTATCATGATCTTATCAACTTACAAAAATGTACTTAACCATGAAGAACATAAAAAAGCAAAGTTGATAAATACGTACGCCACTTTCACACGAAAATTGTGCTTTTTAAACACCATTGCAATAACACCTATTATTAATAGCCAACTGTATATATAAATATATTACATTTAAAAAAATATTTTATTAATTCTTTGTAATTTTCCATAATAGCTCTAGCCAACTGTTCTTATTTTTAGTGAAATTTATAACATATAAAATATTTTTTTATTTTTTTATATTTTTTCTTAAATACATTGTATAACTTAAATAAATCAATAAATAGATTATACATTCATTAGTTCAACATGAATTGTGTACTATATAATATTTTCCCAACAATTTCAAACACACGGACTTTCATTTGACGTTTAAGGGGTCGAGTACAATGACGAATACAATGAAATATTTATTATTAATTTATTATTTATTTTTTATAAGTAAACTGTAAAAAATATTACTTCAGACTCTTGTCATGTTTTTTTCTTCATTATAAAAAAAATAGTAATAATAAAACAAAAGACTTCAATATAATTATAATCACAAAACCCCGATTAATATGAAGGAAATCATCATCCAAATATATCCATCTGCCACAAAAAATCATATACTGATATGTAAAAAAAATTTTGTGTGTTATCAGACTTATTTTGTTCTTTTACTGACCTAATCTCAGAAAACCTGAAAATGCTATTAGGTAATTAGTAATTTTAGATACAACTAACAAAATATTACAACAACTTTTCTTTAAAAATTTTGTAATATGTAATAAGTATATTTATATGAATGTATACAATCATAATGTAAGTTTTATGGCAATATATGTTATACCTATAATAAATTATAATTTATAAATATACTACTTTGTCTACATTTTTCATAAGTGATTTATGGTACACCAGTTATCAATTGCACCGTAAGTACTAATGGCAAAAAATGGAATATGGGAGTGCACATGTTATATACAAAAAATGCATAACACGCATTTTTTTTTGAATAGTACTGTTTTATCAGCTCCAGCAAAAAAATGATTCAATATTTTATACTTCATTAGGGCAAAATTACTCATTATAATATTATATTCTCATAAGCACTCACACTATGGCCATTTGATGCTCTTAATTACTTACACTATTGACTCACAATTGGTGATTTTAATAATATATTTCATCAAGATATAAACTCTAAAAAGTTGTAACAGACTTTTATAAATCATGTCTAAAATTTATTTATATATATATAACAATAAACTTATTATTTTGTTATTGACATTGTTATTTTATTTAATTATATAATAAATTTGTGAGCTCGAAGTTACAACAAATTAATTTATAAAAAACTAATTAATATCTGAGAAAATAACAACATGCTTAGTTTTCATCCAATAGCCAACTTCAAATTAGTATTGGAATATATAACCTATTTAATGATGTTTGCTTAAAAACAACACAAAACAGAATATAGAGTAATATTAAATAGAAAATTGAAATTTTATGTATGATATTTCAATGTAATCAAACTTCTTGAATTAATTAAATAATTAATTACTTTTAAAATAAAAAACAAAGTATTCAAGAAATATTTAAAATTAATTCAAATTATTCAAGAAACAAATAAGTTTGATATTTAAATGAACTGTTACGTGATGAAGACACAACCACTCGTTTGATTTTTATTTGATCAATTTGTAATATCAATGCTCTCAGATTTTTTGTATTGTTAAAGTTCTGTGAATATTGAAAATAGTCACAAAGAGTTTAAATATTTTTATTCTATTATTACATAAAAAAGCTATAAGCAAAGTTCTTTAACAATTTTTTTTGAAAAAATAGCTTCAGTAACTGTTAAAGTAAGAAAATTAAACTGCATTTCCTTGTCACTAGTATGACAATCAATTCATATAAAACAATTAACCAGCAAGTGTTTTATCCCACTTTTGTTACAAATGAAATTATATTGGTCAGATTTATGCAGTCAAATTAGGCCAATAGTTGCAAATATACCCAGTTAGGCCAAATAATTTACAGTATATATATATATATATATATATATATATATATATATATATATATATATATATATATGGTTCCAAATTGATAAAAAACAATTCTCTCAAAGTTTTAGGTCTTAATATTGTTTTTTAGATAGTGCGCAATTCAATCTAAGTTTTGTATGGAAATAGTATGAAAAAATTTTCAAAAATTTTAAAAATGTTTTTAGATATAATTTAGTGAACAAATGAATAAGTTTTATTCAAAATTTGTCGCTAAGTTGCACCTAAAATTTTTTATTTTTTAATTTTCACATTTTTTTCCATGCTATTTCCACACAAAGTTTGATTGAATTGTGCACTATCTAAAAGTATATGAAGACTAAAACTTTCAGAGAATTGTTTTTTTATCAATTTGGAAATATTCGAGCCCTAGGGAGTAAGGAAATTCGAAAATGTTCATATTAAGGACCACCCTATTATATATATATATATATACACATATTTTACATAGTTTTTCTGGATAGCTAATATTATTTGTGAAATTATTTTACTGAATCAAGAGCCTCATTTAGCTATAACTACTATTATAAATTATACTATTATAAATTATAATTTTTAGTGCATGTGTAATTCAATTTTAATGATAATTTAAAAAGAATTCAATACTTCAAAAAAGTCAAACATTCCAATTTTCAAATAAATTAAAATTAAAATGTGTATAAATGTATTAAATATTTTGTTTGTTTTAAACAATTCCTGAAGAAAGGCAATTCCAATATCCTCAAAATGCTGAAAATATTTAGAAATTAAAAATTAAAGATTTTTTTTTTTTGAAAAAAGGAAGCACTCAATACAGAAAAATAAAATCATTATGTATATACATATATATGTATATGTATATGCTTGCAATAATTTCAAATGTGAAGCTACTTTATGATCATTATATCACAATGCTCATAATACTGATCATCAGTCAATTTTATAAAAAAATATATATTTATATTTTTTTTATAAAAATATAATATAACTGTTATACTTTACATAAAAAAATCCTTTGGGAATGCATTTGTAATACTGATAATTATAGTTCATTTGCTGAAAGAATTTAGTTCCAATAGCTCTCCAGAGGTAGGTGACCAAGCTGGCGGTAGCCCATCCACCAGTTCTGCCAAGGCACTGTCTTTCCATCGACCTCGATCACCATTGATGATACGATCCTCACACACACATAGAAACAGTGTATCCATTATAGTCTGAATTATAGAAATATAAAAGATTTTGTAGAAATTAAAAAAAAAAATCAGTCATATGCAATAAAAAATAGCTACAGAGCCCAAATGATACTTATGAAATACAATGAAAATTTTATTGGTAATAACCATGTTTAAGTGAAAATGTGCAGCTATGTACATAGCGAGTTTTATACCAAAAAATACAACATGCATAACAAATATTATTCTGCAATAATTAACAAATGAATTATAAGATAAACATTTCAAGAAATACTATATGTTGCATATGTTCAATAATTGTAAATCATAAATTGAATATTAATATTTGTATACTTATATTTAGTCATTTAACCAACAATTTCTATAAAAATCTATGAGAAGCCCTACATCAACAACAGATCAGTTAAAAATATATAATCATTTTTGCATTCTCAAAGGCATTGAAAATTCAAGTTCTCACAATCTATTAGACTGGAACATTCCGGTACACACTCCGGTGAATTATATAGCATATGATTAAAATAGATAGTGACTCGATGGTATCAAAGAGTTTATATTTAGATAAACATGAAAATATAGTAACAGAATAGAATGATCAATAATTATATAATAATGTGTGAAAAAAATATAAACTTAATAACACATCATATAATTGAGCTAAGGATTAAAATATGGAAGATTGCAAAATTCAGATTCAAATATATATATATATATATATTTTTTGTAGAGCTTCGAACAAGAATCCAAAAATAATACAAAATAAAAAAACAAGAAAAGTTTTTAATAAACAATTTCTTTATTTAATTATTTGTTTACTGTCAACGTTTCGGAACTAGGTACGTTCCATCTTCAGGACATCTGTCAAGAAACATGATCTTGATAAGATTTAAGCAAACAATATGTTTAAGAATATTAAGAAAATAGATTTTTCTTAAATAATAAATTAATTGTAACAAATAATAATGTACAGAAATATGATAATATGATCAAAATGAAAATGATAAAAATAAATGAGTGGATTATTAGAACAGGATATTAAAAATGATAGAAATTTTTTGAAAGTTATGGAAAAATTTTTTAAGAAAGGATTAATGATAAAATTGAATTAATTACCTGTATGTTTGAATATACGTTAGCACTTTTTCACTAAACAAGAATTTTTGACAAAAAATGAATTTGTGAGTTATTTTTCCGCCGAATAGTTAACTTTTGTAAATCAAAATTACTAAAAGTGTTGTCTTTTTAAAATTATTATTTGAAAACAAATAATATTGTATTCGAAGTTAACCTATTGGCTTTTGGAAGCGAACTAAACTGTATTTGATGGATTCATATGTAACACGTGTAAACACTTGAAACGAGAACTGTGAGATTGTATGTGTGTGTTTTTTTCTCATGTTAGGGTGTAAATACTTAAATTATTGAACTTAAAATGAAGTCGATATTAATTGTTTGTCAAAAAGTGTAAAAAATTTAAATATGAATCATGTAATAGGTTGTGATCTGATCTAATGTTGACACTGTTAGAAACATTCAAGAGAATAAGACAACTCTCCGCGAATAATCTCCTAAAAATGCAACTTTCATGATATAAAATCTTTGGAGTGAAATTAAATGAATGGGCGTTTTCTATAGAGTGTTGTACTAGGGTACTTTTGAAATTTTTTTTGTTTATGGTGGACCACACTTAGTTCATGTTGTCTCATTCTCTTGTGTACATATTGCAATATGTACACAAGAGAATGAGACAACATGAACTAAGTGTGGTCCACCATAAACAAAAAATTTCAAAAGTACCCTAGTACAACACTCTATAGAAAACGCCCATTCATTTAATTTCACTCCAAAGATTTTATATCATGAAAGTTGCATTTTTAGGAGATTATTCGCGGAGAGTTGTCTTATTCTCTTGAATGTTTCTAACAGTGTCAACATTAGATCAGATCACAACCTATTACATGATTCATATTTAAATTTTTTACACTTTTTGACAAACAATTAATATCGACTTCATTTTAAGTTCAATAATTTAAGTATTTACACCCTAACATGAGAAAAAAACACACACATACAATCTCACAGTTCTCGTTTCAAGTGTTTACACGTGTTACATATGAATCCATCAAATACAGTTTAGTTCGCTTCCAAAAGCCAATAGTATAACTTCGAATACAATATTATTTGTTTTCAAATAATAATTTTAAAAAGACAACACTTTTAGTAATTTTGATTTACAAAAGTTAACTATTCGGCGGAAAAATAACTCACAAATTCATTTTTTGTCAAAAATTCTTGTTTAGTGAAAAAGTGCTAACGTATATTCAAACATACAGGTAATTAATTCAATTTTATCATTAATCCTTTCTTAAAAAATTTTTCCATAACTTTCAAAAAATTTCTATCATTTTTAATATCCTGTTCTAATAATCCACTCATTTATTTTTATCATTTTCATTTTGATCATATTATCATATTTCTGTACATTATTATTTGTTACAATTAATTTATTATTTAAGAAAAATCTATTTTCTTAATATTCTTAAACATATTGTTTGCTTAAATCTTATCAAGATCATGTTTCTTGACAGATGTCCTGAAGATGGAACGTACCTAGTTCCGAAACGTTGACAGTAAACAAATAATTAAATAAAGAAATTGTTTATTAAAAACTTTTCTTGTTTTTTTATTTTGTATTATTTTTGGATTCTTGTTCGAAGCTCTACAAAAAATATACACAAATCCAAGACTCTACCATTCAATATATATATATATATATATATATATATATAAATTTCTGGCATGCATTTATAATTATATTTATTACATAATATAATATAAATACTTAACTAACAAATTAATATGCAAATCGATATTAAAATTCCACTAACCTCGTACAAAGAAATAACACAATGGGCAATTAAAAATGCAAACACTGCTATTACTAGAACTGGTATTGCATATAAATGAATATCATCCCGTTGACTAAGCAAAAGCAGTCCAACCATTCCACATATTGCGGTAACTGCAATCTTAATATTTTATATTATGATAATTTCATAACTAAAACAAGTTTAAGATAAGTAGTGCAAAAATTAGCTTTTTTAATTATAAACTGACATTCATGTTTAATATTTAATATCAAATAAGACACATATTTAAAAACATGGTATCATTTTAAGTGAGTATAAAACAATTTATAGTTCGACTTTATAATATGTAAATTGTTCAATATGTTTAATAATTTTATTCAAGGATGAAATAAATAAAAATCCTAATTGGTAGCTCTAATACAAAATTATTTTTCACTTTATATCACAAACATAAATGATAAATTTTGAAAAAAATGTTTACTATCAAATTATTTACTTACTTTTGCTATAAATAACATCAAGTTCCCCAAACAATTCATATTTGCAACTTGAATTGTATTAGACATTAAAGCATTCCATGCCTGTAATTCAAAAATCAAATTATAATCAAGAAAAAAAAATTATGATCATAAACCATATACTGTTATTGCTGCTATTAAGATGTGTTTGCAATATTACCAGTAAAATTTAGGATTAAGTAAATTACCAAATGTTTTTCATAGCTTAGAACATATTCTATAATGCAAGAGCAACTTACTATTGTTGATGCTGCACAGAAATCGACAGTCTCTATAACTACAACAGTGTATGCATTCGTATTCAAAAATCTAATAAATTTCTCTAATGCCCAAAAATAGCATACTGCACATTTCAAACAGCAACTTGCACATTTTGAAGATGCTTCATTTTGTTTTAGCCTGTTAATAGCACATATATTCAGAAATCTCTAATATAGAATATAGAATATAATATAATAATATGACACAACTTACAAAGCATTTTCTAACAGATTATGAAAAATAAAATGCAAGTGATTAAATCAACCATTTATAAAGATTAAAAAAGTTGTAAAGACCCACAAGCATATATGAATAATATATATTCACAAATATGTGCACAAGTACTTAAGTTCAATTAACAAAAAATTTATGGATGAATATTAAATTCAACACATATTTCACTCTGTCTTATATATTGTTGGCAAAATAAAAATTGCGATACCACTTTGTAAGTTGTTTTTCAGTATAAATAATAAATTTTTATACTTTGTATACAAATATGTTAGAATTAAACGAGGAATCTTGAATGTGACAATGAGCAGAGAACCCAAAGCTACGGAGCCCAAATGATACTTAACTACTTTGGAAATGGTATATAAAACTGGAGACTGTCGCGAATTTGGCATTCTGAAATAAATATAGAATATTAATGTTTAAAATTTGTGACTTTAAAATATTATAAATATTGATAAACTCTATCCATATAAGGTTCTCAAAAAATTAAAAATATGTAAGTACAATTTTGCATATAAGTACATAAAATTCTGACCTGAAATACCAAAAGGCAACAGTTCCAGCTATTGTCATATTTAGACAAGCAAGTATAAATTCTGATGTCCAAATTAAACCAAAAAGATAAACCCACCACATATAATGTAACCATTCAGTCTTTATATATTCTACAAGTATGTATGCTGAAATTAGTAATTATTGTTTTTATTAATTTTTAAAAATATGAAATTTTATTATTTCAATTAAAAAGTACTCACTGGTATTATAATTATATGGAAAATTAAACATAGTATCGGATTTATTAATTTTGGTATGACCCATCATCATATTTTTGTTAATTGTAAGCAATGGCTTAATTCCAGGATAATTTGCAGTGGCCAAGCAAACCTGTTAAATCATCATATACACATTACTCAAATCATCTAATCATATTTGAGATCAACAAACATAAAACAAAATATTCCAAATAAATGTATAATACTAAAAATTTAAAAATTACAGTAAAACAAAGAACAAAAATTGCCTTTATTAGATTCTAAAACTAAAATCATGATTAGTTTTATATAATATATTCTTTAAAAATCAATATTTTAAAATCAAATTAAACAGAATCATAAAATAAGAATGACAAAATAAATTACTTACAACAACAGCAACCCAAAATGTTAAAAATCCAATCAAAATAAGACAAGCCAAAATTAAAGGTCCAAAGAGAGCTAAAATCAAATAATTTTTTGAAATAATAACTAAACGGATATTACTCAACATGATTTTAAAAAAGATCTTATAAATAATTACAGTTATAAAATAAATTAAAACTTTAAAAGGAAAATGAAGAAATATTATAAAAAAAATTGTAGACAAAAAAGATTAAAAAGACACTTAAAGATATTTTAATTATAATAAATAGTATATTAATGTATAATGAAATAGTCAAATAAAATATATATATAAAATATGAAAACTTTTTTCTTAATCTCACATACCAGGCACCTCTGTCTGACTGAGATATGAAAATAGTATATAAATAGAAAAAATAAAATTGTAATAAAGTTTTGTAGTAATGTTCATATTGTGAATTGCCTTTACATATATATATATATATATATATATATATATATATATATATATATATATATATATATATGTATATGTTTTAAAATGTGTTTTTTTATAGGAATCAGAGAAACAATATTAAAACTACATTCTCATTATATAAGTCTAATGCACATATTAGATTCCTAGTTTTGAGTAAAGTAATCTATGAAAGTAATATTTTTTTATATTACATGTATTACAAATTTAGGTTATGAAATTGAATCAATCAATTCATGATTTTTGATTTAATTGATCAAAAGGATCAATTACCAGTTAATAAGATATGTAATGAAAATAATAATCTACTAACTTGGTAACGATGAGAGACATAGGGCTGTTTCCTTGAACACTGTCAATAACGCATTTAATTTTTCTTTCAAATTCCATATTATTATAAATACCATTATTGTAATTAAAGATGCCATTATTGCAAGCACTAGGATTGCTATTTCATTTTGAATATTTTCCAAGAGCAATTGAAATTTGGGAATTGTATCTAAATTAAACCTATAAGAAAGATTTGTTAAATATGACAAACATATTGCAGATATAACACAAATATCTGAAAAAAATAAAACATTAAGAGACAGAAAATAATAATAGCAATATATTGAAAAAAGCATAAGTAAAACAAAATCTAAAAAAAATCCAAATTTACTATTGGTAACTTAATAATCAAATTCAATTATTGATTAATAAAGTCTCTTAATTCTAATTAAATGTTAACGATATTTTCCATGGAGTAAAGCTAGTAATTTTATAAATAATGAACTAATTTAATAATCAAGCAATTTTATTGATAGTAACTGTTAAGAAATTTGTAATGCGTAACTTTTAATTTATTTCATTTCAATTACTTGCAATGGAATAAAAATATATATTAATACATATGTTATATAAAATTAGAAATAATAATAATAGAATATTGAAAAAAATTGAACTTATCAATATATTCTTGCAGATTGCAAATACTCTAAAGCGAGATTTTTACTTTTTAATTTTTATGTTAAAGAAAATGTTGGGTAATAAAAAATATATATTATTAATAATAAAAATTAAATAAATATATAAATTAAAATAAAAATATTTACTTAATTTTAAAATAGGTAGACCACAGCACTAATGAAGCAGCCACACACGAAGCAGCAAACAGTATTAATATGAACCAAGACATAACGGAAGTTAATACATGCAGTATACTAATAATGATCAAAGATAAAACTGAAATATACAAATTATTGTTACAAACTACAATTGTAATATATATATATATATATATATATATATATATATATATATATATATATTATTATATATATATATATATATATATATATTTTGTAGAGTTTCGAACAAGGATCCAAAAATAATACAAAATAAAAAACAAGAAAAGTTTTTAAAAAACAATTTCTTTATTTAATTATTTGTTTACTGTCAACGTTTTGGAACTAGGTACGTTCCATCTTCAGGACATCTGTCAAGAAACATGATCTTGATGAGATTTAAGCAAACAATATGTTTAGGAATAGAAAATAGATTTTTCTTAAATAATAAATTAATTGTAACAAGTAATAATGTACAGAAATATGATAATATGATCAAAAAGAAAATGATAAAAATAAATGAGTGGATTATCAGAACAGGATATTAAAAATGATAGAAATTTTTTGAAAGTTATAGAAAATTTTTTTTTTAAGAAAGACTTAAGATAAAATTGAATTAATTACCTGTATGTTTAAATATACGTTAGCACTTTTTCACTAAACAAGAATTTTTGACAAAAAATGAATTTGTGAGTTATTTTTCCGCCGAATAGTTAACTTTTGTAAATCAAAATTACTAAAAGTGTTGTCTTTTTTTAAAATTATTATTTGAAAACAAATAATATTGTATTCGATGTTGTACTATTGGCTTTTGGAAACGAACTAAATTGTATTTGCTGTTTCTTATGTAACACGTGTAAACACTTGAAACGAGAACTGTGAGATTGTATGTGTGTGTTTTTTCATGTTAGGGTGTATATTCAAACATACAGGTAATTAATTCAACTTTATCATTAAGTCTTTCTTAAAAAAAAATTTTCTATAACTTTCAAAAAATTTCTATCATTTTTAATATCCTGTTCTGATAATCCACTCATTTATTTTTATCATTTTCTTTTTGATCATATTATCATATTTCTGTACATTATTACTTGTTACAATTAATTTATTATTTAAGAAAAATCTATTTTCTATTCCTAAACATATTGTTTGCTTAAATCTCATCAAGATCATGTTTCTTGACAGATGTCCTGAAGATGGAACGTACCTAGTTCCGAAACGTTGACAATAAACAAATAATTAAATTAAGAAATTGTTTTTTAAAAACTTTTCTTGTTTTTTATTTTGTATTATTTTTGGATTCTTGTTCGAAACTCTACAAAATATACACAAATCCAAGACTCTACCATTCAATATATATATATATATATATATATATATATATATATTGTCTCCAACTATTACTATTTTATTTTTTTCTTTTCACTCCAATTCAATTGTTTTAGTTTTTAATTTTATTTTTAGTTTCCACTGAATGAAGGCTAGGATTATAGCCGAAACGTATGGATTTAAAATAAATTTTTGAAAGAAATTCATGTTTTTTATTGATGTTATGCCCGATTATTAGACTTTGTTAATACATATGTCAACATCAAATTCAGAATCATACAAAATATATATATATATATATATATCTTTCAAAAACATGTGAGATATAATGTATACTTTTCTTCCAAAAGTTATATGCAACAACAAGAACAAGCCAGTAAAAACAGGCTTATAAATTTAAATGCTTATAAAAAAAATGAAAATATATGCATATTAATCTGATTAAAGAAGCTTATTTTATTTATATAGTGTATTCTAAATTATATATTAAAATAGTCTATAAGATATATATTAAAACAACCATCAAATTTCACACTATATTCTTTATTAGTCCAGTCATTTAAGCGTAAATTAGGTAAGAATCTCGGAATTCGAGATACCCAGCTGTAAGTCTGTAAATACTTGTATATTGACACCTAAAAGTTTTCTCAAAACCTACATATGGTAGGGTGTATGCAACATATGTAAGTTTTGAGACAACTTTTAGGTTTCAATATACAAGTATTTACAGACTTACAGCTGGGTATCTCTAACTTACTATAATGACTGGACTAATAATTGCAGTAAAAATTCAGGTGAACTTACCAAGTGCTAAAATAACACATCCCAATAAATAATGCCATGTTGTGTACAAATCCCCTAGTAAGTGTTCAGTTAAAGCCCAATTGTTAAGTGTACCCGAGTAAGCATATCCCATCATTTGTTCAGTCGCATATTTAGAAGTTGGCACACATCTATGTAACACAGGCTCACTTTCATAAATAGGAAAATTTGGACATGGGCCGAACACATTAAAAATGTTGTCTAACTGCATGGCATGTTCATTGTCTCCAAAATTTATAACTGTATCATTAGTCAACGCACTAATGTTGAAATCATATCGACATAAATTTGAATTTGTATCTTCGTAAAATGATATCAAATCATATACATTCTCAATTAAACGATCAGGGCATTTTTCTACACAAATTTTCAGAGTTTTGTCAAAATGTAAAAGATCCAAATAAAACAAATAAGGCTTATTAATAGTTGATATTCCAGATAGGGAAGATCCTGACAGTTTTAAATTATTTAATTGACCACAAGTATTTCCAAATGAATCATAACCATTCATTAACCTTAATGGATTTCCATATACTAAAGCAAATGCGGCAATTATTATCTGAAATAGAAAATTGTCATTTAACAAGTTTCAGCTAATAGTATCGAAAATTAAATAACCCAAATTAAACAAACCATTAAACACCAAAACAAAACATATAAACATAACCAAAAAATATCCGTACAAAATTTTGCAGCAGAGGGTTCTGCGCATGGATATGTTTTATTTTCCCAACAACCCATGTTTTAATTAAAATTTATTTAAAAAATTCACATAGTTATAAAACATTATATAAAATCAATGTGCACATTTGATATTAACTAATTTTTAACATATGTCACAATCACGATTTTCAACTTCTTCGTCATGAGTCGTGCAATTAATCATAAAGTTAATTATAGTTCATTGTAAAAACAATCTGAAAAATGCAACAATCAAAATTTGTGACAAGCAATAACAAACATTCTTAATCAACTACGGCAAAATTTATATAATGAGGAGGATGAGGACATAATATACCACAGTTTTCCAAACTATAGTCAACAGGATGTCAAAAACTTTACAAAATGAAATAGTCAATTTGCCACATTTGTGTCACTAAAATTTTTTTTAATTGATTTATAATATAATATCCAAAATGTTATATAGAGTTGAGTAAGAATAAGCAAATAATTGGAATGTAATCTTAACTATAAATACATTGAATACTTAATTGTGGAAAAGCCTAGCAGAATCCTACAATTCAACCACTTAACGGTCACGCGTAATAGTTCTTATTCATATCATATCAAGTAGAATATCATCATTCGATAATATAAATATTGACTTTATAATTATACATATTATAGTAAAAACTTTTTTATTCTGATGTACTAATTTTAAAGTTTAGTTTCAACAACTATAAAAATTTAAATATGGGTCTTGAGCACTTCAAGATGGCGCGTTCAAGCATTTTATATCTCAAATCCGTTAAAAAGTACTTACGGTTTTTTACTTTTACTTTAAATTATTATTATATATTTATTTCAGCCTAAAAGCCTAGAAATACAAGTATTTGTGTGTACCTACTTACCTTTTTTATAATTACAATCTGTCACACTTAGGGCATTCAGTAATTGTTTTGATTTTTTATTATATGGATCTTGAATGGATGGCAACCCAGTAGTTGTCCAATCCAATTATGACCAATTATCTGTACAAGTATTATGCTATGTATATTACTATATATATATGCAACTATACCCACGAGAGGCAATTTTCACTTGAGACATCACAGTTGCCTGATGCCGGGCTATGGCGGTAGTGGGAATCGAACCAGCGCACGTTCTAACCGATATCGCGACCACTGGGCCGCCTACTAACTTAAATCTACATTATACCTAACACCAGGAATAAACAAAACAAACACAACCATAAAAATAAACAATCACATCCAACTACCACAGAAAAACCCAACATAATCGCGCACAGACCGAACCCTCAGTGTTCTTTCACTGGTTCCACGGTTGATTCGTTCTTAATATTTTCATAAATTAGAAAACGTACCAATGGGTGGTTCTCTAAAAACATATTACCTGTATTAAGTCTCAGATTAATTACTAAATATCTTTTAATTATATGAATAAAAAAAAGATTCCTTTTTCTGGTAGGTACTCCGGCATTTCTCCAGTGATTTGTTCTCTATACTCCCCGTGCCTGGTCAGCGTGCATTGCACGCAAGCGGCCAAATAAAAAAAGAACAAATTCATAACGAAAGCGGCCGTCATATTAAAATTTCACTGAATAAAAAGGCGACCAAATTAAAAAAACCGCTGGATTAAGAGGCGGCCAAACTAAAAGTCCGCTGAAATCATTCGCGGCCGTATTGGAAGTCTGCTGAGTTTAAAAACGACCGTAGTAAAAATTAGCGGAAAGCGGCCGTATTGAAAGCGAGATCGAATAAAAAAGCGGCTATTGAAGGCTTTATTTTCCAAATCATTTATAAGTGTATAAACTTGGTGTAAATAGCAACTTTCCAACTTAAAGCAAGTGGTGTGAACTTTCCAACATGTGTAGATAATCGAATTAACTATAAAAAATATATTTATTCATGAGTGAAATGCATTGCAATGTGAAAAACTATCACAGTTTATTCAATTTTGTACAAATTTTCAAAAAATATTAGTTTTTTTTTTATAAATGGTTTAAAAATTATATATTATTGAACAAAAAGCAAACTTGTAATATGTTTATTTAGAACAGCATCCAAAATCGCCAGAAAAAATTGTTAATTAGTAACTAATCAGCATAAGAAAACGTCGACTAAAGATAAAATTTTGACTCACGTAAAAAAGCGCTGCTCATTTTTTCAAACTTTGATAGTATTTTAAAAATTAAAACGACTTATCGTAGGGTCAAAATATCTAGTTATATTTGAGACCATAATATCTATTGCCCAAATAGGTTTATAAATATCATAGTAAAAAAATATTTACCAATTAAATACGAAGAAACGATTTGACCGATCTCTCAAAACTAATAAGCACTATTCGCGAATGATATCTTTCGAACAGTTTCTGAATTTTTAAAATCGATGCAGGATTTTTGGCTGAAACGTGTATGAAAAATTTTCACGCTAATCCTTATCTACTTGCATCAAATAATTTTTAAATTTTTAAAATCGATTTAATCGTTTTTGAGAAAACGTTGACGAAAAATCAAAAATCGGCTCATATACACACATTTTTTTTCAAATTTGGACTCAAACGATTCAGAATCAGCTGGTCCAACCATCTTGGCCAAATCCACAATTGTTTGAAATACCTTTGTCTTTCATCCAATCTCTCTTCATCACCTTTGCTTCTTTTCTTTCCCTTATACATTCATTCACTATGCCATTCAATCCAGACTTTAGCTCACTCCTTTTGTTTTCTATACTTTATTAGTACTTTTTTACTTTAATCATTATATCTTTCAATGGCTATGTATCCCTTTGCTAACGAGTAAAACTAAGGTGACCATACTTCCCAGATTAGGCGGGTTCCACCTTGCGTTACTGATTTTTATAAAAGCATTATTTATCCAGGTCTTAGGTTTTTTGTTCCGAATTATTCTTGATTTTTGAAAAGTATAGGTTGAAATTGAAGCTTCTATTACTTGTTAATAAAATTATAAGAACCCATCTATCAAATATATCCCATATATCAAATAAGCCTTGGAGGGTGCAAAGTACACAAGTCGTGGCAGAAATTACTTAACTTTACTCACATTTTTGTCAAATATAACTATCATTTTTCTTTTTACATCTTACAAAAATGATAAAAAAATCATGGTGTTGACAAGTTAGATGTATAAATGTTAGTGCTAATTTCTAGTGTTGTGTACACATCCTTAGATGTAACCTACCAACGTTAATATCCATTGATGATGACATTAAATTGAATGTCGAAACGTTTGGAAATAAAGATTGATTTATAAATCTTTGCTTTTAATCTTTGTTTTATCTTTCTACAATAACTTACTCATAAATCTCAACATCAAAAATAACAACCTAATCATATATATATATATATATATATATATATATATATATATATATATATAACTATACGTTACGAAAGGGAATATGTCTGAACGCTAAAATCCAAAAATTTGGATTGGCCCCTCACTAACGACGAAAATTATCAAAACATTACTAATACAAATTTTCTGACTGCCTGGCACAAGTGCTTTAGAGAAGTGAATAGACACTATTTTTACTAAACTTGATTATATAAAGGGAACTGTTCCGAATTTTAACAGTATTTGTTATTTTAAATCATATTCAAGTTATTTCATCCCTTTAAATCTAATTTTATCTAATTAAATTTAGACAGACAATTATTTAAATATATCGTTTGGACATGAACATTTTTAGTGTTTTATTTTATTAATTATTTTTTATAACGAACCGCAAAGTTAATTATGTAAAATAGTTATTATACTACTCATTTTTCGAGCAAAAAAAACGCGATTAATGCATTGTATTTTACATTGAAAGAACAACGAAAGCAGTTAAAAAAAATTGTTTGATTTGATTATAATTACGCCAATTATAAATAAATCTCTTAGTAATAGCGTAACTTTTCTCTTAAATTTTAGATGAGTTTTTTTATTTTTATATTTTGATTTCCATTTACCAAAATTCTTTTAAAATTTTACCTAATACTTGATAGCTTTGAGTATTTTGAATCAATCACTTATCAGGCGTTTTTTCAGGACTGTAATAAATGAATTATATCAGCATCTACCATATATTAATAATTTCCTAGTTCAAACTTAAAAGAGAATTTTACTTGTATTAAGATTATGTATTCATAGAAAAAGTTCTTGCAAAATCTACCAAAAAAATATTTTTAAATCATAAATTAATTGTATAATTATTAACATAACATCTAAATTTTACCATTTATTTTGCATTGAATGTTCTGGGTTACATAATAAGAACATAGACCTTTTTAATAAAAAATAATTGTATTTTCCAAGTTTTTTTATTTTATTTTCAACATGATATCAATCATAGTTTTATAGATTTTAACCCTTTCCATTCGCGAATTACGAGATTTATATGTATTTTGCCGCCGGAGCGTTTACGTCTAGTAATTATAAACCATAATTTATTTTTTATTGTTTATTTTATTTTTAAACATAACATATAATAATGTCGCTTATTACATTTCAGAAATATGTATAAATAAATTAAGACACATTTTTAATAAATGATAAAGCAATATTACAAATAATTGATATATACAAAAATCAATCATCATATACAATATGCATGAAATTATATATGATGAAGTGATAATATAATGTTATCAAAATTATTAAATGCCTTAATCATTAACTTAATAATAATATAATTATTGACAAATTATAGTATATATTATTTCTTTATAATTGATATTACAAAAATATATTAACGATTTTCTTTCTGAATAAACAATTGATAATTATATATAGATGAACACATTATATTTTTTCAAGGTTTAGCTTTATAGCATTGCAAAACAAATAAAAACTTATGAATGGAGTTAATGAGTTCAAAAATTCCTTCAAATATGCCCACCGTTTTAACGCTTTTATCTTTTATAGAATTGATTTGAATAAAATGTTCTGAATGAATTTTTTATCAAAATAAATTTGTTAAATGTTAGTTCAGTTAGAAAATTAATGTTAAAATTAAACATATAAATAAAAAAATGAATGTTTATGGCAATATGCTAAAGGTGGACGCAAACTTCTTACAAAAATGTTTTATAGATAAATGATCATAGTGTATATCATTAAATGTTCGAGTCGAAATTCATTTGCGAAGTTAACTGATTTCCAAAAAACGCTAAATTGACATAATTGCTGCATTCAAATCGAAATCTATATTAATGCTAAACATATTTGATTTTGCCATATTTTATACTCTAAAATAAATAAAACGATTACATTTAATAAAACAACGTAGTAAGTAAAAAGAACTTTGTACTAATAAACGTTTCAAATAAGTATAAGTAAGTTAAAATCTCTATATGGGAAATTATAGTTTTTAAGATTGATCGTTTAGTATGTTTGAAAATCATGCAATAAAATTAACATCATACCACATAAAAAAATGGTAAAACTTTATTCATATATAGTTGTCAGATTCAATTAAGTGGAGGCAATAATATTACTTAATATCTACCTCTCATTGATCTTATTTGACTTCGAAGCTATTCTACGTATTGCTAACGAAGACAAATTCTAATCATTACTGAAGTTAAGGAAGGTAATGAATATCAATAACGCATTTTAAAGGCCGTGAGCATTTGTACACCTAATATTATAATATTAAAAACAAATCAATAAAATAAATAGCAAAGTAAATTTTAGTGTTAACTTTATAAATACCAATCATCATTTTTATATGATTTGTATAAAAACTTATATTCCATAAAATAATTTATATATCATGAACATAGAAAGTGTTTATGTATCATTTCATTCTTATATCAATCTAAAAATTATAATATTATGAAATATAAATTTTAGTTGTAAAATTGAAATATGTCGAGGTTATAAATCATAAAAAATTATAATATAACTATACCTCCTAAAATAGCATTGCCAATAGTTTGTTTATATAAACTTCTGGTCGATCGAACTTCTTTTCGTTCATTTCCCGAGATTAAACATGAAAAGCCCACGGTTTTCGAATGCATTGAATAAAATGATTTGCTTAATCGCAGCCTAATATAATATTCATCAGGCTATTATGAAAATATTGTATACAATTTTTATATAAAAACCATTCATATAGAAACATTTAGAAAAATATAAATTTTATATTCGTTATTTCGACATAATTCTTCAACGAATTGTTTGTACTTATACATACAAACTGTTTGGCGATAAATATAATAAGAATTTTATCCTAAATAGTTGATATGAATACAACAGCCGGTGTTGAGTAAATGAACTATAATAACCAGGACTAGTTCGTAGATGCACCGCCGCTGCTTTTCCATTCCAAGTGCAAAAAGTAAACTCCGGCAGCATACGCCAATGCATTGAAAATTCCAAAAACCTGCAATAAAAGTTCAATGTTAATCAATAAAAAAAAATAGTAAGCCCTCGTGTAGGGGAAATACAGATAAAATGGCATATATGGACAAAATGACATAGTGGCCTTATTTAAAAATTGGCTAGTTTTATTCACGTTGCCGCGACTGTATAACATGAAGAAAGCCATAATAATAATCCTGTCAGATGTCGAGCGTCATTGTCACAGTCTTGTCGCAGTAATCAATTCAAACGTGTTTCACGTCTTGAAAAGTTTATTTTAAGGAATTTTTTCTCATGTTTTTTTGGAGACCTATTTATTGATATTCGTAATTATTTCAATTAAATTATGCCAGTTTTAGTGATTTTGATCAATTTTATTGCAATAGTCAGATTCTTAGTGGAATTTTGATTAATTATTCGTTTTTGTTCAATTTCAGACAAAATGACATACTTGTACAATGGACAATAGCACTATTTCACAAGTATGTAAAGTATGAACCAAGAAAAAAATCAAAACCTGTCAAAGTTGATTGGTTTTTAACTTCTACTCCAGATATGCAAGAAATAATTGCTAAAAACAGAGCAAAAGATTCACTAGGTAAAAGAAGAGACTTGCATTTATTGCAAGACCTTCTATTTTCGTTCTGAGCCCGGCGGAGATTTGGTTACGATGTAAGATTTGTACCCTTTGGGTTCGTGCTTCATGTGCCAATGTCCGAAAGAGGACGAAATGTTTTATTTGTGAACTGCTTTCTTAAAAATTTGCATCTCAGTATGTCCTTATCCTATATATCATTTAATCCGTACTATATGGACAAAATGGTTTTTGTAATAGTTTGCATTTTTCCTTAATAAATATGTTATTATAGTTCATACTTAATTTAAATACGATATTACTGGTGGTCAATGAACCAAAAACAATTGAGACTGGTTATAATATCATTAAATAAATAAATATCACTAAAAAACAAAACACCATACCATTATGTCTGTACTCTCCCTACATATACTACAGAGAATGACTGGTGTAGAATGTTTGAAAAGACATTTGTAATTTTAAAATAAGAAATGACCATCGAATTTGTCAACTGTATTATGAGTACTGTTAAATACCCCAGTTTTTGCTAAATACAATTTATAAATAATTGTCCTAATCCTCAGTTTCACCAAAGCTATATTAATACACCCAAGCCTCGCTATACGGCCGCTGTTTATACGGCCTTTCGCTATAACGGCCCTCTTTGATTAAGGTACGTTTTCGATATATGGCCTAAAATGTATTGCTATAACGGCTTTTTTCTCTATGTCGATATATTGCGCAATCTCGGTTTTGAAGATTTAAACAAATCTGATGTGCTGGATCTACTTGCAGCTGATAGGGAACCCCTTTCATATGAGGAACTCATTCAGTTGCAAGCAGAGCCGGCAATTGATGAAGATACAGAACCTGTTGTATCCAAACAGCTAACATCAAAAATCATGTCGAGCGCTTTTTCATATTTTGAACAAGGAATAAACATCCTCCTTGAAAACGATCCTGACGTCGAACGTAGCGCTAATGTGTCTCGAGGAATTAACTCAGCCATTAGCTGTTATCAATCACTAAAGGAAGAAATAGACAAGAAGGCAAGACAAACAACTTTAGACAAATTTTTCAAACCACCAGCGCAAAATGGTGACAGTGTTCTGTAGGTTTTAGTTGTTTCATTTTTATTTAAAAATTATGTAAATTTAAAATTTATGTTCTTGTTAAATATGTTTATAATTTAAACAATATAAAAAAATAAAATGCATTTTGAATGATAAACCATATTATGTATTTATTAAATTTGGAACCGATCCCATTGAATTTGTATGAATACGTATTAGAATAATTGATTCGTTATACGGCTTTTCGCTTTACGGCCAAGTCTCGCGGAACGTATCTAGGCCGTAAAGCGAGGTTTGGGTGTATTACGATTTTTATTACGTCCTTTATAATGTAATATTATATGATACTTACTCCCGCCGTAATGTTTGATGCGACGAATGAACCAGCCAACCCGGACCATTTCGCTAACTGCACAATGAAAGCGATCGTATATAGCACGGTGATGATGCCAGTGTTAACCAGCTCCTGCATAGACAAACAGATTAAGAAAAATTAGCTAGTCGTTAACAATTCTTAACAAAGAAGCAGCATTCAAACAAATTATTTTTTATGATATCTTTTCTTGTTCCAATATACTCGTACAATCAATCCACAATAATATAATCAATCTTAAATTCGATATTTTAAATCTCATATTGAAATGAATACCGGCAGTTTTTAATTTTATCATATATTGGGGTGGCTAAAATCCATACATACATACATACGTATATATATATATATATATATATATATATATATATATATATATCTTATTAATTTTAACTAAAGCGAATGGTGTACTCAAAGTACTAAAATAGTTCATTAAAGACAAATACTTCAATAATTAATAAATAATATGTAAATTCAAGCACTCAAAATAAGATTTCAAATAATGCTAACTAAGAACATAGTAACTATTAAAACCAAAAAAATATAAAAATAACATAGAAAAATATCTAAAATAAAATATTAATCACATGAAAAAAAGTTTAATACGACAATTGGTTTCTAGATATTACATTAAAAACATAAAAAAATGTAATAAACCAATAAACTTTTTACGGAATATTTTATCTTAGATATTTTTATTGATTATTATCAATTTAACTCTAAGTCATTAATAATATATAATAAATATTTTTTTGTGATATGATAAAGAGTTTCACAAATCGTAATATGTATATATATATATATATATATATATATATATATACATATATATACTAGCACACCCAGCAAACTCCGTTTCGCCACCAGATGGTTTCGTGAAAAATATGAATTTTTTTTTTCATATGTGTTTCAGAATATTTTATGTAATTTCATGTAACAAGAAGTAAATTACAAATTAATGTGTGATTGTAAAATCTCTACAACCCGCAACAACAATCCTGCTAACAATATATATTTGTATATGCAGGGCAGTAAAATGCGGGCGCACGCCTTAGGGGGCGCCAAAATGAGATTCTGATATGTTTGTTATATAGTTTTTTCATTATCATTCATCTTTTTACTAATTTTTGGACAACATTTGCTAGGAACAAAAATGCATGTGGGCGCTGAGGACGCCAGGACCGTCCCTGTGTATATGCGTAAAAAAGTCAATCCATGTAATCACTAACACAAGATTAGCACGGGATATCCCTATCTTGTAGCTATCGTTTGAAAACATTGAATTGAATAGAAAAGCAATAGACCGTAGTTGCATATTACCGTCAACAGCCAGTTGATGGGAAGTTGTAGCACCTCTCGAATTCCCAGCAGGTAAACGAACACCCATATTAATGTTGCAATGAATGACGTTACCGCCACAAACAGGAACCAATGTGTTGCGGAGGTCAAAGCCGGTGAGGCGCACGACATGCAGATTATGCCGAAAAACTGAAACGAAACAATTTGAAATCAGTCAACACTATTTTATTTAAATATATCAATATGAACAAAGGTATAAATTGTACACTACTTTGTCGGTTTATCATTTAAGATATTAACGAATAGATAAAATCAAATTGCTTCAAGAGACGACTTTGTTTAACGCATCAGCTGCAAATGTGGTCAATATATAACCTATATATATATATATATATATATATATATATATATATATATATGTGTGTGTGTGTGTGTGTGTGTGTGTGTGTTTATGTTCATCGCTAACACAAGGAATATCCCTGTATTATAGCGGGGTTAAAAAGGTCTACCACCGATATCTCAGAAACAAGTAAAGTTATAGGTTAGTCATTTAAGATTAAATTAGGTAAGAATCTCGAAATTCGCACCCTATACCCTGAAATAGCACCCTAAAAGTTGTGCTATTTTAGGGTATTTACAGACTTACAGCTGGGTATCTCAAATTTCTTAGTGAACTTACTATATTGTACTATTAAACAATATTATTAGTCCAGTCATTATAGTGACTGGACTATCAAGATTTTTTAATACTTGAATGTAGAGAACAAAAGATATATAACCAGCCATCTCCTAGATTCTTACAACTATCTATTAGAAGATAAATGTCAATCCATAATAAAAATATTTTCTTTCTTTGTTAGTTTTTTTGGTTGGAGAGCGTCCATTAATTGACTTTTTAAGGATTTTTAGACCCCCCTTTCTCTTGGTGATACGTGGTGATATTCAAAATTACCCCCTCCCCCCACCAAACATCAAGCGCATTTTTAGTTACGACATTTTTTTTATTTTTTTTTGAAAATGTTTCATTTTTTTATAATTTTGTAAAAAAAATCAGGTACAAAATAAGTACACGTTATATCTTACTATACCCCACTCTCCTCCACGTGACATTTCGTATTTGTCAAACCCTAAAAACCTCATGTGATTAATAACAAAAAAATAACAAAGAAAAAAGTAAATTAAGTTAGAAAAAGCAATTTTACAAGAGATAGTTATTCGAACTCTCAATTCCAACAATCAATATTTCTGACAAAATACTAGATCAAGATTATATACAGTATTATCTTTGTAAAAAATGTACCTACAGATTTTATATTTTGCAGTGTTTCAATAATATAGCGACTATTTATTCGAATCCCTTTAAAATTCAAAATACGACATTGGATCTGTTTGCCCTAGCACGAGACAGATGAAAAATTTCAGAAAAATAGTAAAAATACATTTCTATAATTAGGAATTTATTGAAAATTTTACTAAACATAGTTCGATAGTTGTTTGTTCGATACATGTCATGTGTTATGACAGTCACTTGGTTTAGACAGTATAATCTCTTAAATTGAAATTGGATTTAGTGCACCGCCCTACCTTATATAATATACAACCTTTCTTCTTTTTTAAGTTTCTTTGTTATCTTGAATTAATTATTAATAGAACAAATAAAAGCTATTAAGAAGAAACCCTTCGTAAAATTATAAATATTTTCATAGTTATATTTTCAATAATATTCATAAATCAGATAATACGCCGGAAAACATAATGGAAGATAATATTTCTCTATAATATGACATTTTTCTACTGATGTGCGTTGTTTTCTTTGGTGTTCTGGTCATATAAAAGTCGATGCCTCATGCTCTAGAAGAAGTTTCATTAATAACACTTTTGCTTACGATAGTTGATGTTTTTATGCTTGAATCTGTCGAAGAATAATATTTATCTGTCGAAGTATAAACAAGGGCAGCTCTGAGCAGTTTATTCATCTGCCAGAGCATTATCAATATCAAACGTGGAAAATGGATTTATCAATATTATCATCAATTTACAATCTAAAAAGGCATTTATTTAAATAGATCACCACTTTCCGCATACTCCAAGTAGGTTGAAGTTTTCTTGTGTATATTTACAAAGCAGGAAATGTTAATAGATTGATCATACTAGATTTATTTCAAAATGTTTTTTTTTTTAATTTTAGATCATATAAAACAAATAGGTGAAAAAAAGACAAATGAATGAGAATATAGAGCTCGCATTACAAAAAAGAATATTATAGCACTGATGGGGGCATAATGGTTTCTTTCACATTTACTAGCCAGCCAAAACTGGCGACAACTTAGCAATTAGACTAATAAGAAGTGGGTCATCACTGTTGTGTGTTAACTGGGTAATTAGATAAATGTGTTCCTAACTTCATACATAGTCGTGAAGACAGCACTCATATCTTATGCCATATTGCGGTTTACTTTGAAAATAGAATTGAACTGGTCAATTTTATCGGTACGCATTCAACTTTGTCACGAAAAACTTTAAACTAATTTCAATTTGTTCATACTTCATAAATATTAAGATATACTCTGATCTATTCAGGAATGATTTTGTGCTGATCATTATGTTTATAGATTTATGCTAAAATAAATATATTTCAATATTTATGGTTAATGCATTAAAAATATTCTCGAAGCCAAAATGCAAAACATATGAAGTCAATAATTATAAATTGAAAATATATGAAAGTCACATAACCTACGAACAAGATTTAAAAAAAAAAAAATTCCTTGAAAAGAAAAGTATAATTAGTGTAATTCCCACAAATAAAAATGTAAACGTAAAAAACAGCTGTGAACTACTTGTACAATAATTACTAAACAATAAATACCTTAAGTCGCGACTAAAACTTGGCATTGATTCAATTGGTGAAAAAACTTAAGTGATTACAGTAACTTTTAACAGGTGATAAGTTGAAGCAACTATGGATGATGTAAGAGAAACACAAACATAAACACACACAAATATATATAATGCTATAATCGATTTTGTACAATACAAATTCTAATTAAAATGTATCTGATAATTTAAAATATAATTAACAAGAAGAAGTGGTATATTGCAAAGTCGATTAATATAAGCTGTTTCTGAGATTTATGTTTAAATTTTAAAATTGATAGGCATTTTTTATCCGAAACATCGACGAAAGTTGATTTGCTTTTATCTAGGCGTATACAATTATTTGATTGAATTTCTGCCGTTAAGAGTTCATCGCACTCTTTCGCGCTAATTTATTTGACAAAAAACATGTTTTGAATCAAAAGTAATACAAGTTTAGGGCAGGACAAAATAAGTAAGTATAACTCAATATGTAAATTCCAAACTTAGATCTCTACCGTTGCGCTTCACCTGGAGTCTTCAAAGTAATTCTGATGAAATAGTTTGTAGCAATTATGTAAACTATGCGTTATATGTAATACAAATCAGACAGGAACTTAGATGATTATATACGATTATCATAAGTGTTAGTAATAAAATATAAATAATTTCACGCCGTTTGGAATTTCATCCTTAATATGGGCATCTCGAAGGCAAAGTGAGAGACGGATTCCGGACGAGGCAAGGTGTATAAAATACGTAATCAGCGGCATCCAACGCGTTTGTTAGGTCATATGACCTTGTTTTTGCTGAATGTGCAATGTATTCAGCATCTTAGACATTACAATAATATTGATTTGCATATATTTCAAGTTAATTCTGTATATATAGTTTTTTTTTTAAAAAAAATCTGAATTCATAGATAGTATCTATAAATAGATTATGACATCATGCTAAATTAATGCAATTAAATACAACCTACGCAAGAGTCCGTTATCTATCTTTGCCCTAGAAAAAATTATAGGTTTTGCATTTTGTTTAAAATGTTAATTAGAAACTTTATATTTTCTGTGAATAATAAAAGATGATAATTATCTATTTTTGAAGTAAAACTTCTTTAGATGCGACTAGAGAGTAAATCTGATATCATTTATCAGCTCTCCATGATATCATTTCTTAATGGGTTGATTGTGATTAGTCGTCGTGTCGAGCGAATAGAGATTTTTCGCTGTATGCGTTGTATTTAAGGTTACATCGTAGTACAAATCTTGATTTAATAAAAAATGCCTGAATCTGAAGAATATTTTACCCTGTCCCCCGTAAATAATTATAATGAAAATAATAAAACAAATGCAGCATTTGCGCCGTGTGTGAAACATAAGTTTATTGAAATAATTTCTATATTATTCGTAGTTTTTATAAATCTTTGAAGTTATTGAAATGGAAAATATGTTTTAGGCAAAACAGATATTACAGCTGTTCAAAGAATGAGATTATATCGCCAGCGAAAAAGTAAAAAAAAATACTAAAATATAATAATCAGTCAATGAATGTATGTTAATTTTAATTACACGAAGTTCTTCAAACACAATTATTACATGATGAGTGAAGTTGCGTAAACAATATTTGTTTAGGCCTTGTTTAATATAATCCACTGTGTGAACGAATATTATAGAAGTTATTAATCAGCAATTACTTCGTTTCTCTAATGAAGGTTCATTTCTAAATGCTAATTACAATGACAAACCGATCATGTCATATTTGAAGTATGACTTTATTGTTTGTAAATATTAAACATATTTTTAATGCTATTATAAATATATAATTTATAATTTATCATTATATAAATGTGTATAATGGTTGACACTAATAAATATGTGCATCACGAGTCTTACGATATTATTAATAAACAATATTCAAAATTGATATATGATGTACTTATTTTTAACTGAAATGCCATCTTGTACAATAGCCAAAAAGTTTTACTTCAATCGAGTGTGAACCTTACGCGCACTCTTTTTTTCTTGTCCTGGTTGGTGTATGTGGTTAAAACATTCATTGCTAAATATACTATATTCATTGATATAAATTACCTTCATATAATCAGTATTAACAATCAGTTTTTACATTAAGTTGACGTACAAGATTATATTCGAGACAAACATATTGCTAAAAAGTGCTATAATTTTAGCCTAATTGTATTAAGTAACTGAAAGCATTGGTCAACTCTTATGAATCAACCGATGTAAACCGTTAAGAACAGCATTCGATTCGTATTGACGGTGAGAAAACCCCATTCTTTTTTTGAGTTGTTTCGAAAGAAAATAGTGTGA